AACCCTAACCCCTAACCCCTAACCCCTAACCCTCTTCTGTCACAGTACAGCTGACCTCGGTATGGATATAGCAGGAATCTCGGACGCTGCGGCCAGAGACCTTGGCACCTGGAGCGTGGGGTCAACCTCGATTTCGACTTCGTGGTCGTCGAGGATGTTCAGCCGCTGGATCCATCGCTATTCTCAACAATAACTTTATGGCCACCTTCGTTGACACTAGGATCGCTGAGATCGAGATGCTAGCCAGTAATACGCACGGAGACCAAAAACATAGCAAAAGGCGAGGCACCGAGGTAACGGCCAGGCTTCTTCCGTATCGAGGCCGTCATGTCGATCACAAACCCACGACGATTTGATCGGAGGTCGATATGCCATACGCCTTCAGAGGGTTCAGTCTTCCGGAACGCCTTTCAGCGGCTCGATAGAACATGCGAATACAGAAGTTCGGAATAGACCATCAACGATTACAACCTACTAGTATCGACCTTTCGATCGGGGAAAGTCTTTAAATGTTGGTACAAGTGGCAACAAAGACGACGAACGGCGAACGAGTCCGGGGTTACAAATCGAAGGGAAGATCAAAAGGTCAAAAGGTCAACGTCTTCGACGTGCCCAGACCCAGACTATCCCTCAACGTAACAGCCAGCCCGCCCAATCGGACCGCATTCAGGAAGAGGGACATCTTGAGGTATCCGGACCATGTGGTCGTATCGACGTTCCCGGCGGTCTCGCTCGCCTTGACCCAGCCTGCACAAGAAGACGAGATCGAGACGAAAGCCCATGTGAACATCCCAAACCTCCCGGGCCATTACCAACTACAACTATCGGACCACCCTAGCAACGCAAACTCACCGAAGGCTCGCGGGTACATCTCTTCGTCGAATTTCTTGGCCAAGGCCAAGGCGTCCTTGTCGGTCAGTCGAGTACGGGGGGATTCGGCGTCGATAGAATTCCCGAGTAACAAGTTGGAGAGCTCTGCTGCGTCCCGCATCGCCTGATTGGCTCCCTGACCTCGAGATGCTGAGAACGTAACGTGCCCCAAATCGATCGTTATACCTGGTGGCACGAGCAGCAAGTACCGGACTACTTACGAGTCATGGCGTGAATGCTATCACCGATAAAGATCAATCGACCTCGTTGAGCGACGCCCTCGCGCCAATCATGCGGCGTCGTCGAGCTGGACAGCTGTCCGGCCTTCAGGTTACGATTGCCGATCCTGACGACCTCGGGCAGGATTTGAGGATCAAAGCCGAGGTCTCGTACCATGTGCTCAGCCATCCTCCCAGCCTTGGTATCGTCATCGTCGTCTGTCCCCGCGAACAAGTCGGCGATCTTTTCCGGCCCGTTATGGCCCCAGAACAAGAACGAATCCTCCGTCGGGTTCCCTCGAGCGTCCTTGAGCTCGTATACCGCACAGAAGCCCGTCGTCTCGCCAGACAGGTAAAGCAACGACCCGTTGTCCAAGAGGATCTTTGGGAGCTTGGCTCGGGTCGAAGCGTCGATCTTGCCACGGCCTTGACAAACGGCGGTCCCGGCGAGCAGCTTGACGTTGTTCAGCCCGGCGAGGCGGTTCAGCTGTCGATCATAGGTATAGAGATTACGATAAGTGACGCTTCCCCAGACATCGCGCCGCCATACTATACACTACTCGCCTTGCTCCTCGAGCCGTCCGCAGCGATGACGATCTGTCACGGCGTGCGATGAGTTGCGATGTCAGTCAAAAATCGTCCCCCTGGTCTGGGAATCGAAACGACTTGCATCGCCGGTCACTTTGGACCCATCCTCGAATTTCAGTACCACTTCGGACACGTCCCCATTGTCCTGATAGACGAGGCTGTCGACCCGCCGACCAAAGTGAAGCGCGCCTCTCTCCATGGGTAGGCGGACCAAATATTCTTTAAGGGCGGTGCGCGGTACCGCACGCGATTGAGGGTACAACTTGAGTTCGGCCAACTTGGCAAGAATGGTGCCATCCGTTGGTTGAAAGATGGCTGGAGCTCGCGATAATTCTACGGAACAGCAAGATGATATCGGTCATCAGATACGCCCATGATCACGCCGTTCCGTCGTGTTGCGCACCTTGACCCCAAGCCTGACTGAGTTCGAGATAGGTCTCGGGCGAGAGACAGGTCTTGAGACCCGTGATCCCATCTTGACCGAGTCTGATCTGGTAACCGCCGCGCTCCGAATCGAAAGCGACGGTATCACGCTCAAAGACCGAGACGTCGAAGCGTTGTGCAGGATCTCGGAGAAGGCTGTTGGCGATACAGAGCCCGGAGAGACCAGCCCCGACGATGAGTACACGAAGACGGGGTGGGTTCGATGTGAAGTTGGTAGCGGGATAGGTCATGGTGTTTGAGATGTTCGCGATACTATGCGCTCCGAACTGACCGCAACGTCAAATCTACTGCGACTCCGTCCTATTTAATGTCGACGGGGTTCTGAAGATTGATAACATGAGGCCCCGCAAGTGCCCCGCAATCTCAATTATAAAGCAGAGACAACTCGAGGCGGCCACCGGTCGCTGTGGGATATCGACGGGAATATCGACGATCGCAATCAGTCATTTCGCCCGCCGTTACCTCCGCGCGGTATCTGAATCTCCGGGCGCTCGATTTCTGCCTTGTGCCCCGCCGGGAATCGCTTCGTCGAATCCTGGAAGCGTCGGATATGCAGAGTATAAGGTCAGGGGATGCAACGGGACGGAAGATGCGAGGCCATCGACGCCAATCTATGCAGATCATACCGAGCGATATCGATATGACGAGCACCATTGAATTCCTCGGCAAGTGCTACGTCGACTTTAGCGCGAGGCGCACGCAAGCTGATATCGCGATCTCCCGTAGGCACGACCACGTTTCGTATGGTGATCAACGACCTGGTGTAAGGGATCCAAGCTGGAACCTTGATTTGATCCGCGCTGACCTCGCTTTACCATGTCAGGATCTTTCACGATTGCTGGTTGGATCGACCGCAGAGCTTGGTCACCTACTTGACGCCGGACCAAGTAGATCGCGCCGATTACATCTTGATCAATCACGCGCACTTCGATCATCGTTAGTCAGCGAGCTGCTTTCGAGGCGAGTTGCAGCGCGATATTGGACAGCTCATTCATCAACTCGCTATAGTTCCGGGTACAGAGATCGTAGCAAAAAAGACCGGCGCCCGCGTCATTGGCAACGCTGAAGCCATCCGCGTGCTGCGTGAGTTGGGCGTGCCAGAAGATCAGCTCATGCCGGTCGCTGGGGGCGAACATATCAAGCTTCCACATGATATTGTCATCCGACCTTATCCCGGTTTGCATTGTCTGATGCCATTCGAACGTACGCGAACGGGTCGTGCACGATTGTTATGATAATTATGGCTGACGAATAGTTTGCCCGAAATAGATGGCGCGGTTCCAGATGTCCTTACCACGGATCATCGATACGAAGGGAAGCCTGGTCAATCACCGATGGACATCACTCACAAGATGAAGACCGGCGAGTCGAGACGAAACATTCCACGACGAACGAGCGATTATCACTGACGCAGTCGAGCGGTGTCCCATGGCAGGACTCGGTAACCTGCCCAATGTGCCGGACGATCGACTGCCCTCTGATCAGTTCAGGTCGTTCAAGCGGTACATTGCCAAGAATCAGGGCAGATTCAGCTTGTGGGATGGTGGCTGTATGATGTACAACGTGAGTCCATGTGAAGCACGAGACGAAGCGCATGGTGTGCGGGCCAGCATTGATGGCGTTATTTTGGCGCACCCAGATTCACGTACCAGGACAGGGCACGGTAAGGTGGATCGCATCAGGGTGACGTCAAGCCAGCGCTTATCGATTCTTTTTGGCGGACTCGCTGCAGATCTTCTTCAACGCCCACTGTGGAGCTTATATGGGGTTACTGAACGATATCCATCCTCGGCCCGACGTTGCCATCCTGGCGGCTGCCGGTCAACCTTGCGTCAACGGCGATGGCTATACAGGCACAGCCAACGAGTTCGTCCTAGACTGTCTCGAACGGCTAGGACAACCGCGCAAGGTGAGATTTGGCTGCGCTGTGATCGGGTCGTCTTGGCTTGTGCTCATCACGTTCGTCGCCGTAGGTCGCCTGGTGTCTGCACGATCAATCACCTCTGCCTCCTCAGCGAATCGATACGTCCACACTCGAGGAGCGTGTCGGACGCGAGACCAAGACCAAGGTCATGACGCTGGTGCCGGCCGAGGCGACGGGAATATTTGAGTGACGAGTCTGCAGGTCGAACAGATGATTGCTATTTGGAATCGTGGAAATCAATGATGATCCCATTACGAGCTGTCCCCTCGTTCCTCGCCTCGAGAGACTTGACGGTGTATGATGTGGCTCGTGGCTCAACAACGATGTTCGAGCTATCGCCGTGGAAGATGTACGGGGATATTTGACCGATGTGCGGGGGTGGTTCGCTGTTTGCAACCGTGGTCGACAATGCTCATCGCGTCGCCAAAGTTTCCTCGTTTCTCGTCTCGAGAGACTTGACGGTGTCCGCGACTTGTCTCGGGACTTTGCAGCGAGGTTTGACCTATTATCGTGCAAGATGGCGCCGTCGATTTTGATTGCGATCGGGCTTTACTCCTCGGCCTCGACGATACTCGGTACGTCTTTGCAATCACCCATCTTATGGCAAGGATATGTATCCGTGTACGCATTGCAAGCTTTCGACCAAGACCTCGCCTCACAACGTCGTCGCTGAGCGATTCCTGACAGTATGCCCCCATGTTATGGGGGTTCTTCCAAAAGCTTGGCAGCGTGATCTACAATTGAGTTGAATAGATTGCAACGTTCTATATGCCGGCCCTTGGGAGTCAGTGGAGTCGTTTGATGTCAACGACGGTATTCCTTCTGTGATTTGCGGCAAGGATTGTGACGGCTTGGAGGGAGCCAGGCGCTTTGCCCAGTGAGATTTTCAGCTGAAACCACGACTCCGACGTGCTGTCATCCTTATAGCACACGTAATTTGTCAGGGGAAGTCGTCTTGCGAGACACAGCGAGATACGCCTCCGCTTCGATATGTTAAAGTTCTTACAACGACGAGTCGGCCTGATTATACCCATAATGGCGATATGCATAGTATACTGCTATCCAACGAGGTTCAGCATCTATATGCGTAATCAGGACCGGCCCGGTTTCCGAGTATCTGGCGAGTCCCGTACTGCAACTGGGTCGCCAGACGTTCGTATATTATTGAGAACGTGCCTGTGCTCTAACGTCGACACCGTGTGTACTTTGAACATCCCACGTATGACATCCCCCCATCTTTTTCAGGCGAACGTGGGATCGTCGACGGACATGATGGTGATATAAGGTGGATAGAGATGTTCGCGAACGTATTCGCCGTTGATCATATCCGACTTGTCCGCTACACCCACCCCCCACCCCCCGGCGCACCACAGAAGCACACACAATCGTCGTTGCAGCTTTAGCAAACCGCACAACAAATGACTTCCGCCTTAGGGGTCCTCGTACTGCAAAAGCACTCACCCCGTTCGACAGCCTTTTCCAAGGTATCTTCGATTCCTTCCGCTAAACACCTTCTCACCAGCCTCTCCCTCGCCGTCCTCGGATCGACGTCGATAAACACCCTCAGATCCAGTACCTCGGCTGCTCGTCTCCAGGGCTGGACGTCCAGGAACGTATAGAGCCCCTCGATGATCACTATACGATGATGCCCCTCCAGGGGTTCGAGAGAGGGAGTGGGATCTTTGAGAGCGTGCGAAAAGGTGGGGAAGGGGATTTTAGAGGAGGCAGCGAGTGATCCGGTCTTTTTGAGCGAGAGTACGAAATCGGTGAAAGACTGTGCGTTGAAGGTGAAAGCTGCACCCTGCACAATGCCCGATCTGCGTTTCAGTCCTCCGACATGTATAACACATGGCCCTGCCACATGCGCATGAAACACACTACTGTACACTCACCCTGCGCCGCCTGGCCTCTGCGGGATCCGGAAACTCCTCCAGTTCTGCCCTGGAGTGATGCCAGCCGTCCATCCCGATACAAGCTGCGATTCCCATAGGGGCCTTGTCCACCTCGTAGTGCGGGTGTACCAATCTTAGCTTCGCATCTACTTGCACTTTCGTGTATCCCTGTGCCTGTGAGGAGGTATGAAGCAGGTTGTTGATGCGATCGGCAAGGGGGTAAGCGAAGGTGGATTTGCCGGATGCTGGGACCCTGTAGAGGAAGATGCACAACATGGTCTAGTGCGTGTCCAGGTGTCATCTCGATGGGCGATGCTTACCCGGCGACTCCCACGAGAAAGCGACCGCCATCGGGTCGTCTGCAACCGGTAGCATCAGTCACTGTCACTGTCCTAGGTATAGTAGTGGTGTGGAGGGGGAACTCACGCCTCATAAGCGGCGATTATCGCTCTGGCGATCTCGTCGATATGCCTTTCCATGTCGCCAAGTCCGACTGAAGTTTCTCGCTCTCGTACATGATGACATCCGAGCGAGCATCGAGAAAATGGGGAACAGTCGGCGACTGGGTCAGATGATAAACTCTATATGTATACAGGTAGATTTCGCTGACTTGCAACAACATACTACTACTACTGTGTGTAGACGGATAGACGGATGATCGGCCGATTTTCGGATCCCTCGTGCTCTCTCGTATCTCTCTGCTCCCGAAGACTTGAGGGGGTTGTTCGGGAGATCGTCCTCCGTCACTTCGGATCGAGTGCTCCGGTGCTTCATCAGTGGGTGTTCCCCCTTCTTCATGTCGCAACGCAAGCTCAAAGCTCTCTTCTTAGGGGGTCTCGCCATTACATCGGCTCTCCTTTCGATAACCTGAATTTTCGTCGTGTTTCGTCAAGTTCTCGGCATCCGTCAACTCCAGCTATCCATCATCCCCGGATGTCCCGCTTCGCCGAGCTTTATGCTGCGTCTCGAGCAGCGGAGCACATCGTTCCTCCAGCAGCATCGTCCTCCACCCTGCCCTCTCCGATGCAAATCAAGCGACCGCTACCCGATGAACGTGACATCGGGTCGAGTGGGAATCACGCAGAGGGCTCATCATCGCAGAAGAAAGCCAGAGCGGCGATAGCCACGGCTTGCGATCGATGTCGTAAGTCTCAGTCTCCCCGTCTGACCACAATGGTGCGTTAACGTTGCCATTGACCTGGCTTTCACACTGCCTGCACAAAAAGGTCTGAGAAAACTGGGATGCGACGAAAGGACACCATGCAGACGTTGTATAGACACCGGCTCGAGTTGTACACGGACCGAGCAACAGACTCGAACGCCCTTGACTCGAGCGAGGATGACTCTGCTGGAAGAACGGTAAAGGAGACTCGAGTGCAGTGTGTGCCCTTAGACGAAGCAGGACATTTTGCTGAAACCGTATCTTCTCGCATCGCGTAATTTAGCGTCGAGCTCCTGGAAACGCTCTGGCGAGAAATAGTACCTCCTGGATTCACGATCCAAGGGGCCGAGGAAGCCTTTTCAGAATCACGTGGGCGTGCATATCTCGCCGATGTCAAGGAGGCGATCGTCCGACAAGTTCGAGCGACCGCCCCAACCCTGCCTCTTTCTCCTCCTCCGACCCTACCCATTCCACACATGTTCGATCAGCCCGCGACGTCCAACCCACTCCCGACCAATTATTCAACGACCAGTCGCGCCCTTAAGAGTACAGCCCCTTCATCCCGGAATCAGACCCGTCCGGGAACACCTCGAGACGACACGGAGACGTTTCCTCTTCCCTTGATCGATGTCGACGACCATATCGACTTAGATGTAGACGTGGATACGTATGAATGGCGGGAAGATCGTACGCGAGACCGGCTGCATCACCCGTCGTCGACTCGACCGGGGAGCGCGAGCGGTAGTCTCGATGGCAATATCAACGTAAACGTCGAAGAGAGATCGGGGTTGGATGGGATGGCCAGTCTGGCGGAGAGAGCAAAGGGGGTCAGCTATCTTGGTCAGCATAGCCATGTCTCGTCTCTCTCGCCATGGCTTTCTCCAGCCCTGGGCTGCATCGCTCATCACGATTATGGTTCGGGTATCAGGTCTCTCGTCCGGCGCGACATTCCTCAATGCCATTCGCCGACTATCACGGGTCCAGCTCAACAACACGACGTCTGCCCCGACCGAGAACGTGATGGTCGACGATTCGTTAGCGAGGGTTGAGCGCCAGATACAAGGTTTCGACCGCACAGCAGCTTCTTCAACCAGACTCGCCAATCCTAGTAGTAGTGGTCAGCGAGAAAAGTATCTACAGCTACCGCCCCATGCGGAAATCCTGCCACTCGTCGATTCGTACTTTCGCCACTTTCGTTGGTACCGTATGGTTCTACTGGTGCTACTGACCGGAGGCTGACTCCTACCTGCATGTATTGCGCGCGGCACGTAGACCACCTCACGCCAATCGTACATGAGCCGACGATTCGGGCGCAAGTATGGGGTGCGATCCCCGTTCCGGACACCGCCGGGTCTCGCTTACTGCTATACATGGTACGCCTCCTCATTTCTCTCTCCTCCAGCAGTTGGACGCTCAATACTGATGCAGACCTGCCACAAAGGTGTTCGCCATGGGTGCATTCGATCTCGCCAGATCGCCCTCGGATCCGGACGGCAGAAAGTACTATGAGATCGCGAGGCAGGCGATGAGCAGCGAGCTACTGGAGCAGGGATCTTTGCAGCTCGTGCAGGGGATCGGTGTCATGGCCAACTATCTTCAGAGGAGCAATCGGCCGAACATGGGATTCATCTATCTGTAAGACCTTTTTAACAGTCGTAAGAACGCTGTCGTGGGCTGATTGGGCTTGTTTACACAGAGGCCTCGCCATACGTATGGCCACCGCGCTGGTGAGTCGATCCATCTTCGGCCGCGAGAACGCGATTGATTATGGCTTCGCCGCCGGCCACTTTGTAGGGCCTACACATACCGCCCTCAGGGTTGAAGCAAACGATCCTGCAACACGAAACTAGAAAGCGAGTATGGGCGTGCTTGATCGCTTGTGAGGCGGGGTGCTCGGTGACTTTCGGTCGGCCATTCGGTTTGGGCACGTCACACTTGATCCCGATGGCACTGCCTCTGAACATCAACGATGAGGTGAGGTATCGTGCTGTCTCCTGCCTCGCATGAAGCTGAAATCGATCGTCCGCTCGAGTAGCAGATCACGGTGACGTCGGAGGATATGCCGCCTGAATCCTCGGAGATCACCCTATACACTTCGCTCATCGCGCAAGCTCACATGGCCAAGACGACCAGCTCGATCCACGATTCCATTCTGTGTGCTCATCCAGCGCCATCGCTCAAACGGATCCAGCGCTATGATGCCAGCATACTCGAGGCGTTCCACGAATTGCCAGTAGCCTTCCAGCACCCAGACCCGAACAGCGCTTGGTATCACGCTTGTTCGATCACGTTGTGGCGAATTCGAGACTTTCGTGCCATCCTCTACCGGCCGGTGCTGCTAGCTGCGGCTTGGGACGCTAGACGACAGAAACAGCTGTCTTCCGGTGTCAAAGAAGCCATCAAGTGAGTGCGCCTGGACAGAAGAAAAGAATGTCGCGCGTTTGTTCATGGCTCTGGCGCGTTGCAGTATATGTCGCACTTTGGCGCTTGAAAATCTGAACGAGATTGGGTACTGTATGCGGAACGACGAATCTCGACAACGCGGGCTGGAATGGTACACACTGTTCTTCGCCTTTCAGAGCGCATTGACACTCCTATTATCGGTGGTGTGGGAACCCCGCCACGCGGAATCGCTGCTATGGCGGGATGTGAGTAATTCGGTTCCTTCTTGAAAACGTCAACGACCTTGACACTTTCACAACCGCAGGTTCTGCTCAACACCGCTCAGGCATTCAGAAACTTGCGCAGCGTCCAAGCAGTACGCCAACCGTTCTCCTGTACCTACGTATCGCGACTCACTCCATCCCACATGATACAGCTTGGCAACGCTTGTGCCGGAATCATCGAAAGTATCGTCGAGTCAGCGCCACCTCACCCCGGTCCAAGCAGTGTCGACAGCGGGCAGACATCCCTAAACTTTACCGATGATACTTTTAATCAGTCTGGAAGCATACTCGATGTAGATAGGTATTGGTGAGTCGCTTAGCGATACGGCATCCGAGTGTCGAGGGCTCATCTCTGTTTGAAACAGCGCCGAGATCTTTGCAAACCCTCAAGTTCCGGACATTGGCGGCGATTGGAGCATGGAAGGCCTGGAACAGCTGTTGCAGATGAACGTGACCGAGACATTCGGCTATCTCGGTGATCAGTTCATGTAGCTGGATGTCCCAGAGTGAACCTGGCCGAGAGATGTCATCATACGCACAGGATATCGGGACTTGCTGTTGGGTTGCAACGGTGATCGGATGCATGGCAATCCCATCTCGGTCACGCACTATCGTACATTTTTAAGGTGATCGGGGGGGGGGGCATCTAAGCCCGATCATGGCTTCACGGCTTCACCAGCTTTGCGAATCGCCCAAGTGAACTCATACGTCCGTAGAGCATCATCAAAGGTGCTCAGTAGTCCATCACTGGATCCACTCTCCACCGCATCAATCATTGCGCTTATTTCGCTATAGAAGGGATCATCCTGGTCGTACCGTCGAACCTCTACGTTTTTGCGGCATCGGAAATCAGTCTCTAGGCCGTGATGTGCCGATCAAGTGTGCTTGTACGTACCTTCGCCAGCCAGTCCCGGGCGGCGGATATAGAGCACTGGAGCATTATACGGGTCCACCAGCTTGAGTCTGTAGCCATCCGCGATGATCTCAATCTCGGTGTCGTATGTGGCGTCTGGATTCCCGCCAATCACAAATCAGCCCATGCGAACAACAAGTCGAGCGCACAACTTACCGTGCAAGGCGACGCTATGCATCAATGTCCCCACAGCACCGCTCTCGTACTGCCAGACCGCAGCGGTGATCCTGGGAATCCTGTTCGCGGCGTCGATCTTCTCCTCGTCGAATCCCTTCTTGCCTAGACTGCCTGCCGAGGTATCGTGTTCCACCGTGCGAGCCGAAACAGACTTCAAATCTACCTCGCCTCCGAAGAAGCGCGAAAGATCGGCGAAATGTGTCGCTTGCTCGATGATCGGGCCCTGCGATTGGCTCTTGTCCCACCAGCCGAGTTTGACTGCGTATTCGCTACGAGATGGTACGGTCGAGATCAGCGAAAGGATGCAAAGGCAGCGTAAATCGACTCACTATGCCATGGTATACCTTGCGTTGGTTGCCATCACCGTCAAGTTGTTCTCCCGCAAGATATCCCTACCAACCTCGACGTGTCCGTCAGTCGAGTCTTCACAAGTCAAGCAAAGTCACCTACTTGATATCCGCACACGCCTTCAAGTATCGCAACATGTAGCCCACACCCACGACGCCCTTCCCTGCGTGCTTTCCTAGACTGTCCCTGACCGACTGAGCCTCTGCTATCCGCTCAATCGGCCCGGTCGTGACGGGCTTCTCGCAGAACAAGGAGATGGACGGGAACGCTTTGATCAACGCCAGCTCTGCATCGCGGCCTGACGAGCTCTGGCCGCGAAATTGGGGAGGGATACCGAGTATGGCCAGTCTGCGAGATCAGATTGATGCATGAAGCATGAGTATTGAAACTCCGAAAGTGTGAAGCGGGAGGCAAAGCGATCCAGTAACGAAGTAGACTTACTGCGGTAAGCGGGCACCTTTCAGCCCTTCCGCTGCCGACGCGATGGACTCAAACACCTCGGTAGAGTCGTAGCTGTCTTTGATCAGGGCTTTCTTTTCGTCGATCACAGCGCGGGCCTTTGTCTGGTCAAGATCGACTAGGCCAACAACCCGTAGACGGCTTCCAAGCTTCTGTTCCAGCCGTTTGGTGTGATTCCAAGGGCCTTCGACGGAACCTGCAGATCACGTGATCAGCGATGCGCCTTTGCCAGGCTGGTTATGAGGTGCTTACCGAAGTTGATCTCCCCTGCACCGATAAGCAGAACGTTGAACGTATTCTGTAAAGACATCGCTATGATGGGCTGTGATAGCTGACCGCAAAATGGTTTATTCCGCGGGAAAGCTGCTCCAAATCTCGTTCTCCACTCATTGCTGAAGGGCGCTTCGTATGTATATCATTGAATATGTGGGTAACACCCTTACTGCAACCGATCCTCAGATCGCTTCGTATGAGAGCTGCGTTCCGGCGCTATTCCGATGTCATCCGGCTGGGCATTTGACCAGATCTCACAGATCTCCGTCACTCAAGCTGACCCCGCGCGGGACCTGATCCTCGGCGAAGAGTGGCCTCGGGGACATCTCGGCTGCAGTAACGCCTATTGATCCCATGTTCGGCCTTCGGAACGCTGAGGCCCGCACAGGCAAACCATGTTCGTCCATCGAGCATGTCGGCCTTCACGCTGCTCACTGTTGGGCTCGTAGCGTCGGCATTGCCTTGCGCAGGTCGGAGCGTCGACAATGCGCAGTGAAAAGGCGCCGTGTTGTGACTATACTTCGAAGTTTTTATGTCCTGGTCGAACCAGCACGAACAGACATGCTCGGGGTCCCGTCCTCCGGTCGGTGTGATGATGAGAATGTCCCCCTCGACCTGTCGGTATTTAACTAGCGAGTGCGGTCCAGGTCGGCAAAGCAGTGCCATTTGGCGCTAGAAGGCGAGTTTGCGATCGCAATTCCTCTCTTTACGAAACCTCATACATTCTCTCGCTACAGTATGAGCGCAAGCGCACTTTTGCAATCTGTGAAAGGCACAGACGAGCTGGACGTGGGACGCCTTTTCGACGTACAGGGCTGGGTCATCATCGGTAGGTCCTGAAGGTGCTGTCAGCTCTGTAGCAGTCCAGCTCATATGCAGGCAATCCTCGCAGTTACCGGAGGCGGCACTGGACTAGGCCTAGTCACTGCGACCGCACTCGCACAGAACGGAGCCAAAGTTTACATTACCGGTCGTCGAGAACAGGTCTTGCTGGATGCTGTAAAACAGGCGGCACCCACAAATGGCCGAGGAGGAGAAATCATCGCAATTCAAGCGGATGCAGCTACCAAAGAAGGGATTCTCAGTGAGTGTACCGAAACAGCAAGAGCCTAGTCTGCAAAAATTGAGCGCTGAGCCGATCTCAGAGCTGCGCGATACTATCGCTGTCAATGAGAAGTTCGTGAATGTGCTGATCAACAGTGAGTGAGCACGTCGGAAAGCGAAGGGACTTTGTACTGATGGTCGACCCTTTCAGATCACGGCGTATCTGTGGGAGCCCCGGACATCGTGAGTGTCACAGGCGCACGATTGAAGGAGCCTCGACTGACATCTTGAATGTCCGTAGAATGCATGCGAGCAGACTCCCGAGGGCCTTAGCAAAAAGATGTTCGAGGACGAAAGCATGGAAAAGTGGTATGTGGAGACCGTCGAATTCGCGTTCTGGGTATGAGTACTGAACGCACATGTTATAGGCTGGAGACCTGCCAGATCAACACTGCGTCATACTACTTTACCACGTTCGCGTTTTTGCCGTTATTGGCTGCAGCAAAATCGATTGGCGGCTGCCCGGAACCGGGCAACGTTGTGAATCTCTCCTCAATGTCAGGCATCACCAAGACGAGTCAGCGCGGCCAATTCAACTACAACGCGGGAAAGTAAGTCGGATCTTCCGACAAAGCCTTCCAAGCACTAAGCCCCGCTTCGTATGCACAGGGCTGCGACCATCTCCCTATCTCACCAACTCGCCACCGAATTCGCGCGACGTAACCTCGGCGTCCGTGTGAATGTCGTCTGTCCTGGATACTTTCCCTCGGGCATGACTGTTATCGACCCGGAGAATAACCAAGATGGCAACGATGAGCACTTCAAGACGTTTAGGGGGCATTGGGGGATCCCGTTTGGGAGACCAGGGTGCAGCAGGGACTATGCGCAGTGCATATTCGGGTTGATTACAGTCAGTGTCCATCTAAAGCCAGATCTCTAGGTAGGCGCTGACGATTCGTCGGTTCATGACAGAACCGATACACTACTGGAGCAGAGTTTGTGATTGACGGCGGGTGGCTGCTTGAAAGTGGTACGTTTGCATGCTTTAGGCTGAATCGTAGACGATTGTCCGCTGACCGAGAATGGATGCCAGCTTTCTGAACAGTGCAAATTGTCATCGCTATCATTGTAAATCGAAAGCTACTAAGCATGATGTACGATTATGAGCATCCGTGTGACACACCATGACAATTGAGCGAGATTGACAGCGGGCAGACTCCATGAGTACCTAATAATGTATACCGATTGCGACTTGACGAGCAGAGGTCAAGGCGCGGTTCGCGACGATCGTCAGCGCCAACGATGTTTCGACAAGGATGTGTTTGCCTCGTTCCGTCACCATTAGTTCTCGCGGTAGCTGTAACAGTCGTCATCGCCTTGACTGATCGAGCGATGATCGCATTCGCCTAGCAGCACAGGATCACTGACTTACCTCCCTCCCGTCCGGTCTTCAAGCGCTTGGGAGGCATCCGAAAGTGGAAGAGCCTGCCATATCGCTCTATACATGCTATACACCCGCATTCGCGAAACATGCACGTGATCATCTCGCGCTCGCCCATACTACAGACAGACGGACGCAAAGCGAAATCGGACCACCCCTTCCGCTCGGACGATCGCACAACGGCCGTGCTCGAGATTCGGAAGACAGGAGTTGTCAGTATTTCCCCGCTCGAATCAGGTGACACATTTCTTGCTTGACATGGCGGTCTCTTCGGTATACAATGGGCCCAGTCTCCTCTCCGAAACGTTGTCCGAGCACAGAAGGACCACTGGTCTCCGACCCGAGGTCGTCACGCATATCTGCGGGAGGGCGAGGGCCCCATGGGACGTTACTCGAAATCGCGGAGTCTGCAACTGCATATAACCGAGCATCGGTGTCGCAGTGATCGTTTCTCGATCTAGCTCAGCCCTTCATCCCAACCAAGTCTTACTACGGCACACCGGGCCTACACCCACCATCATGGCATCTCAATACACTGTCAACAATCACCACGCAATGAGCGTCGACGACGAACCAGCTGACAAGGAAAAGATCGTGCAGCTCGAGCACCATGAGGAGGTTCCGAATGATCAGGAGGTGCTCGAAACGAAATATGCAGGTATGTGGCGAAAAAGACGTCCAACCAAAAGGTACAACAGCCGCTGACGCGGCTCCTTGCAGCGATGGGCCGATGGACTGCCGCAAGGACTTTCTGGAAAGCCATGGTCTTCTGCGCGATCTTGAACCTCGCTGCCTTTAACGATGGTTTCCAGCAGCAAGTGCCTGGGAACATCATCCCGATGCCCGGTGAGCAAGTCCACACCGATGGCACGGTATTACCACATGCTAACCGGCGAGATCAATAGCTTTCGTCGCAACGATGGCGAACACCGTCATCGACGGAAAGCCGGCTATCAGCGCCCAGGTCATCTCCTTCTGGCAGGGCTTTGCGGAAGTTGCGAAGACGGTCGGCATGTTCACCGGAGGCACTTTCGCTGATCGTCTCGGAAGGAAGTGAGTTGAACTCGCGTCAGTTTCGAAAAAGCTCTGCTCATCGGCGATTATCAGATATGCTCTTGTCGGCGCCGTTGTCGTTCTCCTGGCTGGATCAGTTGCCGAGATTTTGGCAAGGAACTGGCGTGTCTGGCTTGGCGCAGCAATCATCATCCGCCTCGGTGTCGGACTCGCTCAATCCATCCTCATCACATACCTTTCGGAAATCGCCCCGTTTCAAATCCGTGGTTTCATGATCGGTGCATATCAACTCAATCTGGCTTTCGGGCAGTTGATCGTCGCCGTCGCTTCTCAGCTATTGATCATCCACCAGCCGACCAAATGGATCCCGCTCGTCGCTTTGGAATTCGTCTTCTCGGGAGTAAGTCTGCCGATCACCGATCGATTAACCCGGACTCTAATCAATGTAACCCTGCAGCTGCTCATGATCCTCATTTGGTTCGTGCCGGAGAGTCACCTCTACCATGCTAGGAAAGGCAATCACGACAAGGCGAAAGACTCTATGCTCAAGCTTTACGGCACTGCCCCTGACTATGACGTGGTAAGTGCACTGCGATTTACCAAGCCCATCCAAGTCAAGCTAACCGGTCATATATAGGAATACGAATACCGAGTCGTCCAGAACGGTATCCAGGCGGAAATCGAGTTCAACCGCAGTTTGGGCGGCGCGTCTTTCTTGGAAATCTTCAACAAGCGCAACTGGCGTCGAACCTTGGCCGGATGTGTCGGTATTTGTAGTCAGTGGGCTGCTGGCGCTCCGATCGTATTCGGATACTCGACGTACTTTGTGAGCGATGTGCCTTGCATGATCGAGTCGGACAAAGCTGACGCGTTGGATTTGATCTCAGTTCCAAGTCGCCAATCTCGGCACGGATCCCTTCATCATCTCTATTCTCACGTAAGCTGGGCCATCGTGCGCTATGGAAGAGCCTCGCTGACCCACACGAAATACAGCTTTGTGCTCTTGATGGTTGCAATCTTCGTCTCCTTGATTAGCTGTGAATACATCGGTCGTCGCCCTCTTCTTGTCGGGTACGTCTGACCAGCCTGATGGGCAGAGATACAGTCCCCTGATGTCTTGTTCGGAAACAGTGGATGCTTTGCCATGCTTTGCTTCAACGTCGGTCTCGCCACCACCGGGTTCTTCAGCAGTGCGGCATCCGGCAAGGCCGCAGTCGGTATGCTTTTACTCTGGGTCATCTGCTACGGACTCTCTGCCGGTCCTATCGGTTTCGTCGCTGCCGGAGAGACCTCGACTCCGAGGTTGAGGGCGCAGACGACATCGTTCAATCTCGGTTGTTACGGTCTCGGCTTGTGAGTGTCGCCGAAAAGAGAGACCATCTTTAGACATTGACTGATCATCTCTTACGACAGCGTTGTTTTCCAGTGGAGCGTCTCCTACATGATCAGCCCCGACGCCGGTAACATGGGAGTCAAGGCCATCTACGTCTGGTGCGGGATGTTGGCTCCCACCGTTGCCATCCTCTACTTCTTCTACCCAGAGGTAAGCCCGCCCTACTCATTCTTACCGTGAGCGTTCGAGGTAATGATTGTCTACCTCGTACCGTATCCGCTAGACTGCCGGTCGAACTTACTGGGAGCTTGACGAGCTCTACGAGCGAGGCGTTCCCGCTCGCCACTTCAAGAAGACCCCGACGATGGCTGAACAAGCTGGAAGGAAGGGCAACATCGCTCGTGTCGCTGCTTAAGCGCAGTCCATAGCATTATCAGCGAATAATCGGCCGACTTGGCTTGAAGGGTTGGATTGGAAGACCGAGGTTTGAGCGCCTGGAAACAATGGGAATTGCAAGGGGCGAACTTGATGGGTTTCTTGTTGTACTGTACATGTCAAAGCGGTGGAGCCGAGAGATATGGTATGACTGTCTTTTCCTTCATCTGCCTCGTCAACAAGTCGACATAGGGCTTCTCGATCACCTCTAACATCGCTACTATGCCCTGCACGTGCAACGGGCCTACGCATCCATCTTCACCTCGACTTCCAAGCTGAGAAGCTTGGCTCATACATGTCTGCGACCCGGCGTAGGCGATCATACGATCCCGAGCTGCTTCATCTTCTCCTCGACGTGCCTAGCGATCTCCTGCATGCCCCTGGCCGTCGGATGGAGCGGAGCAGGTCCTCCTCCAAACAACGAGAACTCGGGCCCGCTAACCCAAGGGTCGTCCGATTCCATCCCATGCGTTTCGCTGACCTTTGCCAGGGAGACGTAATGTACTCGCGGTCTGTCTCGTACCGACTCCACCGAAGCCTTCTCCAGTACCGCCGCGATCCCTCTGAAAGATTCGATCTGGGAGGAAGTGTACGGCGTATTGGTCTCATCTGCGAGCCCTCCGAACAGGGCTGGATACCCGACCAGTAAGATCTGTGCTTGAGGGGCTCGAGCGTGGATCTCGTCGTACACCGCTTGGAACCGCCTGACCATCTCCGCTTCATCTGGGGGCGGTGCAGAGAGATCATGCCCCATGGCCCAAGCGATGACGGGACCAAGCAGTTTGGTGATAGACGATGCGTTGGCCATCATCACCTTCCCTATGTACCCGAGATCGTTCCCCCCACCCGTGATAGTCACCACATCGGCATCCTCCGGAACCCCCTCTACCTGCGGTAGAAACTCTTCCCCTAGAAAGACTTTTTGCCGGGTACTCGACAGGTTGAGCAAGGTAGCCCCAGATACCGAAAGGTCCGTATGACGCGCACCCAGGCTCTTGGCCAGGAGAGAGGGATAGTTGATCGAGGATCGTTTGGCAGAGGTGTTCGTTATCGGAGCGAGGCCTGGACCGGCAGCGAATGATGAGCCTAGAGAGACGAGGTGCATGGCTAGGAGCTAGCTTGGAGTTGGGGGATCGTGCGTTATGAGAATGACCTAGGCTTCGACAAGTGGTATTTCGTTGCTGGCTTTGTCGGGCGTGCCAGCGGCCGAGTAGAACCACGACCAAGTTTGTGATCCTCTCATATTTGAGATTTGCAAGGAACAGAGATCTGCAGTATCGGTGTGCGTCCACTACAACGTCCACTCGGATTGTGATCGGTAATAGGCTGTTTCGGTCACCCCTAAGCACAGCAACTGGCAGCGAACTCGCAACTCGTCTTCTAATGCCGGTGAAGTAGCCGAATCACGGCATCGAGATTGAATTTGCTACCGGACCCGGACGGAAGGACAAATAGGGAAACACGTTTCACCGAGAAGGCGCGGCCGCCCACTGCTGTAACGGCGTTACACATCACACGCCATTCGTCATGTCGAATCTGCTCGGGAAATTGTCGAGACGCATCGGTGTCTTAGAAAGACTCGTCTTGTTACATAATGGCCTTTTCCCATACGAGTCACTTGCAAGGTCCTCGGTCATCGTGAAATTTGAATTCCACTATAACTTGATCAACGCCAGCCTCGCCCGTACCATGTCTTCCGCCGCCGCCACCACACTATCACCCGCACTTAAAGCGCTCATCAATGCCCCTCACGCCCGAGGCGCTGCGATCCCCACTTCCCCTCACCTATCCTCACTGTTCAAACGGATAGAAGATGACGCCCGATCGAAAGATATCGGGATCCGGACCTGGTTGTGTCTCTCCACAGCGTCTCTGGTGACGATGAATTCGCCTGCGGCAGTGTGCGATCTTTATTCGTATGCTACGCGGTCGATGGCGAAGGCTGAGGATAAGGCCATGGCAGCGGCGGTGAGTCCTACGTGTCGGGCTCGTAGAGGATTCAATCTGAAATGCTGTTCTCCCTGGCGTTTAGGTGATGAGAGAGACCGGCTTGAAATGTATCAGCTTTTCTGGTGTAAGTCGATCCTTCAACGTTCGTTCCGTTGTCTGGAACCAGTAGACTAATCCCTTTTACGCATCGTGCTCGGTCACAGATTCCCAGGGTGAGTCTGAACCGTCCGTCCTACGTGCGAATGACAGGCGATTGAGACTCCTTGCTGCATTCATCAGACTATCAACGCACTAGGCGCTCTTCGCGCTCATCTGGAAGACGATGTGAAAACCCATCTAAGCACAGAACCAACGAGGCAAGTCGGTCACGCAAGTACACCTTTCTCGATCCCTCGGGCAGACGATCCTGAACATCTCCCTCTTACCCGTTTTCCCAGACAACCTACTCCCGAGAACATCGAATCCATCTCCGCTCGCGCCCGTGATCTATGGGATTCGATCTACGACCCCCACTCCTCCAAACTACTCTCCAAGCTATCCTGCTCACATCCAGATCTTCCCGTCCATATCCTCAACTCGCACTACGGCGCGCTCCTCTCCGATCCTCCCTTTCAAGCCAACGATAATGACAACGACAACAACCTACCCGGACTCGCCAAGCTCGGACACGCCAAGATCGGTCGTACTCTAACTTCGGTCGTAGCCATCGCATGTCTCCGTGCGCAACAAGGAGTAGGGCCTCAGGTGACATCTCACGTGTTCGGGTTGAAGAAGAGCGTGCTCGAAGGTGGAGGCTTGGGGGACGAGCTTCCGATCCAGGGACAAGCTTTTTTAGCTAGCGATGAAGGTGCACAGTGGGTGCTTCGGACGGTTGATGAGGTTGTAGCTAGTTTGCGTCCGGATGGGAGTTCTAGTTTTGCCGCGACGGCCAAATTGTAAGAATCGCTTTAGGCATACAGCCACGAGTCCATCTGGGCAAAACATGAACGCATTTCCACATGCTTCCCTCGCCGCAGATCGTCCGACTCGATCCCATACTCTGCTAGAAGACCTCGTACCGATCCTCGCTGGTGGTTCCGAGACATCCGCTTGGTCTGATGACCGCATGATCTTCCGGCTATGGAGACTGGTAGTCTATGAAAAGCCCCCCTGAAATCGAAGGCGGGCTTTGCAATATCGCGCCTGACCAAAAATCATCTTGGACATCGTGAGCCCGGAAGGCAAAATGTCAAGGAAAAATGTGCGATAACAAGAAGTTATCTGACGCAATGATGGGTGGTAAATTTTGATGATACTACACAACCTCTTTGTTTGATCTAGTTGGTACAACATGTTTCACCTTTGCCACACGAAAATTGACAACTTAACATACCGGCAAACTCTAAATGATATAGATGAAATCGGGATCCCTGTCGTCACCGCACCCTCTAAACTTTTCCATATGACCAGCTCGCTTCTGCGCGTTCTGGTATCGACAGTAAGCGCAGTTCGCGGCGACCAGCACCCAACTGGCGCAGAGCAAGCCGAGGACGATGGTGTGCCCCTCGACGAACGCCGGTCCCTGTTCGGCAGGGTAGATGAACGTGGCTGGAAATCCACCACAGTTGGCGATGGCCAGCTGCAGACCGACGGCCGTGGCACGCTTGTAGTGAGGCGCCGAGTTGTTGGAAAGCCAGACGAGGACAGGAGGGACTGTATGCAGAGACGATTCGTGATGCGTCAGTCGATATTTCCAGAGACTATATCAAGATCGATTGACGGGCTCACCTGCAGGGTACAAGCCGGAGGCCATCAAGAACAACGCGCCATACTTGACCTTGTTGTGATCGGTCGTCCGGATGACGGCGTAACCGATGATCGAGAGCGGGATGAAAGCGAGCATGACGGGTCCACGGATGCGATAACGATCGGACACAAAGGCGGCGATGACTAGAGGCGTGCACGAGAAGGCAAACGTATGAGCGTGCTGAAGATGTCTACTCTCTAAGACTTTCATGAACATACCCGTCAGAACTGCGGCTACCGCATAGGGAGGTACTGAGAACAGCTGAGCATCGATGGCTGAATAACCTAATCCTTTGATACTGTTGTACAGAGCAGGGAATCAGTCGCATGCTCACGTTCGCGCACGGAAGAACGATAGTCGGCTCACATGGTAGGGACGAAAAGACCAAACGAGTAGAGCGCCGTCAACAAGCAAAAGTACGCCGAAGCCGAGAGCCAGGTCTGCGCGGTCGGAAACGAAAATCGAATCAGCCCCTGTGGTCCTACGCTATGTACTTTCAACAAGGACAACCCACCTGGATGGTAAAGACGGCCCTCCTGACCTGGAACCACGAGAACGCGTCCACATCGGCCGACCCCTGCGGTTTATCCCTCTGCAACCGATCGACAACCAAGATTCTCTCTTCCGGCGTGAGGAACTTGGCCTTGTCCAACGAGGGAGGCAAGACCAGCGCGGCCAAGAGTCCTACGGCGACGGTCATGAGCCCCTCGACGATGAACAACCATCGCCAGCCTTTCAGCGGGATGGAGGTCTCGGGGAGGTGTCCGCTCCCGCCGAGCCTGTTGAGACCGGTCGCAAGTAATCCTCCGAACCTATAACATCCACCCCAAACAAAGACCCGGGTGCATCAGGTCAGTCCCCCTTGTCTTCGAATTCCCCCCGTCTCCCACGATGACCCTTGGGACTCACGCGCCAGACAGACTCGCACTCGAATAGATCAACCCCAACCTCAATGCCATCTCGCTCCGTTTATAACACATCGACAGGTAGAGCACGATGCCGGGTAAGAGGCCTCCTTCTGCTACCCCGAGGAAAGCTCTGACGACCATCAAGTCGGTCTTTGTTGGCGTCGCAATATCCAGATAACATCAGCACTACTACAACGGGTACCGCCAGATACGAGGAAAAGGAGGATGAGAGATGAGGGAAGAGATCAGGGGAAGAGGGAAGAAGAAGAAGCGCCCCGACTCACATAATTCCTAACGAACCCCAAAGACATGGCGATCACCCCCCAGACGGTCGTCAGTCCTGCCAACCACCAGCGGGGCGAGACTCGTTTCATCACCAAGTTCGATGGAACTACCACACCCAAACGCAAAAGAGACCCGAATGAGCAGGATGATCAGCGAAAAAAAATCCAACAGCCCAAGGCGAAAAGAAGAGGAACAAACAAAGAAGAAGAAGAAGAAGAAGAAGAGGAAGAGACACGCGAGACCCACCTTCACTGGCGATATAAAACGCGAAAAAGATCGCCAAAGAATTCGCATACTGCCCACTACTCAACCCCAGATCCGCATTCAGACCCAAGACTTTCGCATTCCCTATACTCGTCCTATCCAAAAAAGAGAACAGAAATAGGAGGGCTAGCATGGGGAGGATGCGGAGGTCGAGCTTCCATAAGAGTTTTCTTGTTAACTTCCCATTGGGGTCGGAGGGGGTTTGGAGGATCGAGGAGTCTCGTCGGGAGGATGAGGAGGCATCGGCATGCTCAACGAACTCGGTGGTGGGTTTTTCTTGGTCGACATGGTCGTTATGGTGGTAGTGATGACCTTTCTCTTGGTCGTGGGGTGAGATTCCGTACGACATCGTTATATGACGCGAATACTGTAGCTGACGGTACTATCGGTGTGATGCTACAGCGATAACAATAATGATAATGCGACGGGTCAAGCGTTGAGTAATGTTAGGGTGTCCTGTCCCGTCCCGTTCACGATACTATATACAGGGCTAGCTCTTGAAGTTATATACCCTCGAAGCTCGAGAGGCGCAATCGGCGTTGTATCTGGGTCCCCCACACCTCACCCCACACCATACACCGTACCGTACTCACGATTCTCAGCGGCCCGGGCCCCGCAGATCCTCTTACCCTCGCTGCCTCGCCCAATCAGGAGATGATCGATTGATCATCAGCCTCGGGGATTATTTTAGTCCTTCCGATCGACGGACGACAGTGAAGCGAGAGGCTGTAAATAGCAACAGCCACGCGTATTTCGGGCGAATCCTTCTATCGATTTGTCCGATCGACGCATCACGTGATGTGAATGATGACGTGGGTACGATCCGGCCGAAGGAGAGAAGCTGATCGGCGATCAAAAAAGTCCGAAGTGGATCAACAGCTCATCAAGTGGATCCTTGCCTTGTTGATATTTGTACTCTGCTTGATCTTCAATCTCGTTAGACTCGGAGCTGAAACGATAGCCTTCAGCGACCGCGACTACGACACTCGCTGAGCACGACCTGACCTTGATACTTTCCGTCAACCATCCAGAACCTTTGCTTACCTACCTGCTCAACCTCGATCACTATCGACCTCGACTTCGACCTCGACCTCGGACCACCATGTCCAGCCACATCGCCCGCACTCGCTCGATACTCAGGGGCATCCCTACATCATGCACCTCCACCCCTTCCCGTCCCTCAGCAGTACTACGCTCTACCATCTCTCAATTCCCATCCTCCCGTGCTACCTCCAACCCCAAACTCCGAGCGAACTTCAGCTCATCTGCTCTCGCTCGAGATCTTCAGCAAAACCGGACCTCGACTTCGAGTCGGATACAACCTACCACGCTCGACCCGGCTGACGTCGGGGTACCGAAGAAGGAGAAAGTCTGGGGGAGCGCCGATGAGGCGATCAAGGATCTGAAGAGCGGGAGTTTGGTTTTGAGCGCTGGTGAGTCTCCGGGTCCTTCCAGTCGGGGATAATCGTGGGGAGTGGAGAGAAGCGGAGAGGACGAGTGGAGTAGTCGAAATGTCGTTGGAGTGTTCCTCTTTTTTTCGCTGCAAAGAAATCTCAGAAAAAGGACAGAGAGAAAGGAAAAGACAAGATCGTGGCTAACCCAGATCTTCCTTTTTTCCTCTGCATCCCTTCTACTTCTTCTCCATCGTTCTTCATCGAATGTTCACCATTCCCCCCACGGAAACGCCTCACCACTTCCACCATCTCCACCACCCCCACCAATACCTACCGAATCTCATAACTCTAGGATTCGGCCTATGCGGCGTCCCCCAAACCTTGATCAACGCCATCCGTTCCAACGAAAAGATCCAGGATCTGACGGTCGTCTCCAATAATGCAGGGAATTCTGGGAACGGGGGGTTGTGTGAGTTCCCCGTCTTTCCGTCTCTTTCCTCTTTCCTCATCGTATCCTCGTATGAGGTAGTCATTGCCGTGCGATCGAAAGCAGAGATGATCGAAGGAAATACAGCTGATTCGACCGCGTCATGCCGCTCCTGTCGTCGCGCTCACAGCCCCGCTAGTGAAATCCGGTCAGATATCAACGATGATCCTCTCTTACGTCGGTACGAACAAGTCCCTGCAAGAAGCCTACCTCGCCGGCCAAGTCACCCTCGAACTCTCTCCTCAGGGTACCATCGCCGAACGTCTCCGAGCTGGTGGAGCCGGGATCCCTGCGGTGATCACGCCGACGGGAGCGGGGACGTTCGTCGAGACCGGTGGCATTCCCCGTAGACTCTCCCTCAAAAACGAGTCCGAGGGAGCCAAGCAGACGGTACTGCTGGAGGGAAAGAAAAAGAAGGTCATGGAATTCGAGGGAAAGCGGTTCTTGCTCGAACCCGCGATCAAGGGGGACGTCGCCATCATCCGCGCGCACAAGGTGGACAAGGCCGGGAACTGCGTGTTCCGTTACACCACCAAGGCTTTCGCCGGGTTGATGGCCAGGGCTGCCAAGCTCACTATCGTCGAAGCGGAACAAATCGTCGAGATCGGCCAGATCCCCCCGGAAGAGGTCGACCTTCCCGGGATTTATGTCGATCGGATCGTCCCAGCGACAGCGGAGAAACAGATCGAGATCACCGTGCTCAAAGAAGAACCCCCATCCTCGTCGGACGGTCCACAGAAAAAGGACCCCGCCAGGATCCGCCGAGAACTCATCGCCAGGCGCGCAGCGAAAGAGCTCAAGGACGGGTTCTACTGTAACCTCGGGGTCGGTATGCCGGTCTTGGCCGCCAGCTACCTCGCACCTGGGACCAACGTGTGGTTACAGTCCGAGAACGGTATACTGGGGATGGGTCCTTATCCTACGGCCGAGCAGGTCGATGCGTGAGTCGCCAGTCCTTCGTCCTACCTCCCTTTATTTCGTTTCACCTACGACGCCTCGTCAACCGACGTACTCCAATTTGTTCTGAGCTGACGTAGACTTCCCACCTATCCCTTCCCCATCGCCACCCACCCCTAACCCCGCCCGCCCGCAGCGACATCATCAACGCCGGCAAAGAGACCGTGACCCTGCTCCTGGGCGCATCGGTATTCGACAGCGTAGAGAGTTTCACCATGATCCGCGGAGGACATGTGGACGTCTCCATCCTCGGTGCCATGCAGGTCAGCGCGGATGGCGATCTTGTGAGTTGCGAATCGATAGTTGATCTGTTGCCGGACCTTGAAACCTCGATACGGCGTCTACAACGCGACGAGAGGAGAAGCGAGACGACTGATCTGGATTGCCCTTTTGCGTTTACTCTTAGGCCAATTTCATGATCCCGAACAAGTTGGTCAAGGGGATGGGAGGCGCGATGGACTTGGTATCGAATCCTGACGAGACGATGGTCAGTCCCCTTCGCGCCTGAGCGCCTGAAGCAACTGCACTGCTTGCGCTGAAACAACACCCTCGTCGACTCTTTATTATCCACGTCGCACCTCATCGCAGGTCATCGTGGTGACGGACCACACCGACAAGAATGGCCGGAGCAAGATCCTCCAGAAATGTACGCTCCCGCTCACGGGGGTGAGGGTCGCCAGCAAGATCATCACCGACCTCTGCGTGTTCGAGGTCGATCGCAAGCGTGGCGGGTTGACGTTGACCGAGTTGGCCCGGGGCGTCACCGTCGAGGACGTACGGAGCAAGACGGACGCGACGTTTGCTCTGGCCGACAAGATTGGGACGTACGAGTGAGATCGAAAAAAGGAGAGTTGGAGGGGAAGGGGCGGTTTATAGGAAACGATGACGATAGCGCCGCCATGTAGTGACCAGTAACTAGAGGGTGAAGCAGAGCAGACATTTTGCATCATCTTATCCGATTCAATTGGTGTGTTTCAAGGTAGAGAGCGAGCGCTGCATCTCGGCGATCACGTGACCCACGTCGTGGCTCCTGCTAGTCCTTTGTACTAAGATCACTACTACTACATTCTACTTTCTATTTTCCCTATACTCTCACCACCTCCTACTACAACCTTTGCTTATCATTAGCAATTACCCACGACGATACGAACGGTCAACATGCCGTCTTCCGATCACCCGGACGTCATCGCCTTCGATAATGGTTTTCCCCCCGACGGCCTGGCTAGGTTCATCAGGCAAACGGTCGACGACCTCGAGCTCAAAAAGACGATTCTCAGGCTCCCGAAAAAACGCTCGACCGATCAGCAAACGGTCCGGGATATCTATTTGGAGTGTATGAAGGCCGTATTACGACAGGTCAGAATTAATCTCGAGGATATATTCGGAGAGGACTGGTCCTTGCAGGTCAGAAGACAATACATGTTGAACGGCACGTGCACGGGCGCGGACCTCGGCATCAAGTACAAGGATACCGAGCTGTACAAGGCATACGTCATGCTCGTCGACCCCCCCGACCCCGATGTCACCGGAGGCTTGCGAATGCACTACGACCTCAAAAAACCTGCGGATCTCAACGCTGCCGAGACCGCTACCCCCGCCATAGCAGCTCCTATCACCCCTAGCGATTCTCCTCCCGCCGATAACCTCCTAACTATCGACCCTGATCTTAATCATCCTCAAAGCGACAATCCGATCGAGATTGATGGCGCCCACGATACATCGCACGCCGTCATCACTGATGGACCGATCGCCGACCTCTCCGGAGACGAGGACGAGGAGGTCGACGTCGCTGTCGACCCGGTAGTGACCCATTGGGGGTACCTCTTCAGTCCCATCCAGAGTAAGATCGGCACGAACACCACCTCGACATCGACATCGACATCCGTCCGCAAGTCCCGCAATCGCTTCGATATCACCTTGCTCGCCTTCGATGAACGAATCAAGAAGAGCGACCACGAAGGACCGGCTCAGATGCAGATAGTCGGTGGGGTCGTCAAGGTGAGGTACGTCAGTGAGGAAGAAATCGAGGGGACTGTATTGGCTATCCCGTCGGAGGCTTTGGGTATCAAGGAAGAGTCTAAAACAAAGAGCAAGAAGGGCATCGACGATCATCCCTCGACTTCGGTCCTCAGAACACCGCGTGGAGAACCAGACCTCACAGACGCAGAAGTAACGAGCAGACCGCCGAGTTTCTTCACCCGGAGGATCTTGCAAGACCTTATAGCTCAGATAATCTGGGGTTTGATCAACGTAGATGCCATGTCGGCAACCCGTCGGCCTGTTTATGGGATGGCCGTCCTCAACGGTTGGTTCGTGAGGATGGTCGTCGACGGCGCCGAGCGGGTGGTTTACCTCGAGACCATGGACCCCACCAGCACCAGTTTGAATACGAGCACGAGCACGAGCACGGACAGGAAAACGAACACCAATCATCAGAGCTCGAGGCCGAAATCAAACTCGCTGAAAGACCTCTTGACCTGGTTCCAATACGGACGGTTCCGTCATCATCTCGCTACAAACAGCGGGGTGGAGAAGCTCTACCATTGGACTATCGCTGGGTTTCGTTCGTTCGTACTCCCGGCAACTTTGACGAACGATCGCAAAGAAGACGCAGATTCGACTGCGACGGCATCCGCGGTTGAAACGAGGACTGATCTGAAGCGAGGAGCCGCTGAAGTTTCCGCTAACGAGGAGCTGGAAGGCACTAATCGGCACAAGAGAACAAAGGCGGTCTACGAAGAGGATTCGTCCCAAGCGAGAGAGCCCGCTGCTCCTTCCACCTCGTATCAGGCTATAAAGGAAAAGGCTGAGAGTACAGTCCCAGACGAACCGCGTCGTAAAGTGGATACCTGGCTGAGCAAGATCGACAATAATCCTGAAGCCGACCAGACGCCGGTTGCAGTCGATCTCGACGAACCGTTCAATGACGATGATGAAGACGATGACAACCACAACAGCTCCGACAGCCAAGAATACAGCGATTATTGCACTATGGTCGGCCAGATGGAATTCTTGGACCAGCTCGGGTGGACGGTTGAGTACTGCTCGATCGCCCGGTTCGATGAATTGTTGTGTGGATCGGCACGCCAGGCTTAGATCCAGGTTCGGCAGCTATGGCCGGCTGCTTCGATGCCCTGACGCTCCGAGAGATAGGAAGGATCCGATCGAGGCTAATCCACGGAAAGGTGCAGGTTGACGAGGTGCGAGAACAAACGGAAAAAGACAATGACGGACATCGGGGTGAAGATTTCGGGAAGTCGTGACCTTGGTGGACATCGGAATGATATTCGAAGGGTCGTTCGCGGCGGATCGAGAACAGCTGACAGCTGAAGGGGATGCAGGAACGATGACGTCGCTTGGCTATGGCCCGTTCAGAATATCGACGACCGAAGGTGCCGAATCAGTAGCAGAAAATCCTAGGCCAAAACTTTCAAGGATTGCGGCCCGAACAAAAGTGCAAGAAAACATCGCTCAAAGAACCTCCACAGCTGCACACAGGACGTCATGTCAGCAAACCATCCTCGACCGGTCCATACAATACGTAAATTGAAGGGTTGTTTCGTGACGATGACCGCCGATGAAGATGCCGTCTAGATCGAGACTTAAGAAACCGCGCGGATCTGTATTCGAACGGCGAAGCTGAAGGCACCTCGACCGCAGCACATGGCCTACCGATCCCAGCACCTGGTCAAGTCCCGTCAATCTCATCTGCCACTGCAGCAGCAAGTCCAAGCTCGGGTTCGACATCGGCTGCCAGTGCAAACATCAATTCCCATGGTGCGTACAGGGTCGGCTCAAGAGGAAGGTCGACCGCCGGACGGACTGATCGGGCTTTGGTCTGGGGCTTCCCAAGTTCTTGCTGATGATGTGAGAATCGCCGACTGCGTGCTGTGTCTGGGTAGACTCGCTCGCTGCGTCTGCAGTTTCAGTTTCTGCGACTCGAAACACAGGATCTCCGTTTACACCCTCGATTCGATCGTATACGTCGAATCGAGTCATGATCGCCTCCCGGCAGTGTCTCGATTGCTCAGACCCGCATAGAAGACGACATTATACTTACATTACGATGATATTCTAACCTATCCATCTCTCCGGATAAGCCGGGACCTGCCCTCGATGACTTTAGCGGTTGTTGTTGTTGGAAGTCCCTTCGTGGCTGTGTTCTCTCCCTCGCGGATGTAAAAGTTGTTGTTGAGATCATGGTCACTTGGGTGGATCGTCGAGGTCGACGTCATTCATCTTGCATCATGCCATCATCCTGTACCCCATACCACATCTACTATCAGGGGACCGTGGAACATCGTTATACAGACCACACCGCCTCAGCCAAAAATCCGTTTCCGGATCGCATCGACCAGCCCGCACAGCAACACATTCCCTGAATGAGCAACCACTAAGGCTACCCCTATCTTTTTGGCCAAGCGCCGAAACGAATCATCATGTCGACGTTGAACGTCTCGATCCCGGACACATCCCCTCTCATCCAATACTACCCTTACTACGATGGATCCCCTCAATCTGGCTGGAACTCGTCTTACATTCGTCAAGGACGTCATCGCCGACGGTACACCCTTCCACCGGACGTCTTTCCCCGGATCTTTGGCTACATTGACATTCGAAGGGACCGACGTCTGGGTCTGGGGACAAGGAGAGATGAGCAACTATATCGTCCTATGTGACGACGTCCAGCAAGACCCGGTCCCCGGTTACCAGGGTGAAAACTTGCTGGGTTCATGCTTGGGTCTCGGAGAGGGAACCCACGTCGTCCAGTTGAAGATGACGGGAAACCAGACTGCGGATAGCGATCTGAACGGGTTGGACTTTTACGGGATGACCTTGACGGCACAGATTGATTCGGATTAGTGAGTTGGCGTCCATTTCATCACTCTCCTCACCGAAACCTTCAAGCTCCACCCGTCTGTCACTTTCTATCCTTTTTTTCGGCTTCTTTTTGGCTGCACAACCGATGAATCAAACCTCACATCCATCTTGTTCTCGGTTCCTCTTTTCATATCTGTCCCGACCGACTATTCTAGCTCGACGGTATCGAACACGACCGTCCAGCTGGTCGATCCTACAACCCGATGGATCAACCCGGATTTCAACGAGACGAGGGGGGAATGGTTCACCTCGTCTTCGTTTGGCGGGGGAGGTGAGTACAGCCTTGTTCATATCTCGACCTTGACAAGCCCCTTCTCTCTTAATTCGTCTCTTTCTCCATCTTCACCTCGAGGCGCATGAGCTGACCGGGGTCCGATTGCCATTCTCCACTCTGCGTGATATCCATGTCTATATGTATATGACAGACAACACCACGCAATACACCTACAACCGCCTTACTTCCCGGACGATCGGCTCGACGCTAGACTACGTGATACCTATGAATACCCGGTTCTTTTACGCTTACGGTTCCATTTCTTGGGATCATCGACAATTCTCAGTCCAGCTCGATGGTGGAGACCAGGTGGAGTACGTACCTCCTACGGCGTGGAGCAGCGTGGATCAGCTTTTGTGAGTTATGGCGTTGGTTAGGGGTGTTACGGAGATGAACATCATCATCGAGCTGAGTTTGCCTATATGCTGGTTCCTTCTTGCAGGTACTATACCCCGCTGGACCCGTCGACACCGCATAATATCACTTTCCAAAACCTAGGATCGGGGACGCTGTGGGAGTTCGACCTGCATCACATCGTCCTCTCGTCGCTGAACCAGTGAGTCCATTTCCTCAGTGTATGAATGATATGGTTGAAAGGGCCCAACTGATCGTGACTCCTTGTGCGGGCGGTCCAGCGATGGCAGCAAGCAAAGCGCGGGTTCCAAGTCGAAGACGGGCATGATCGTCAGTGCAGTCTCTCGGCTGGACATGTCAGACAAGACGTGGTTGCTTATAAAGTCCTGCTTGAACGTACAGGTCGGCATCGTCATGGGTATCGTCATCCTAGCCGGGCTGATAGCTGGGTGGCTTTACCAAAGACGCCGTAGAAACAACACATCTCGTCCAACAACACCATCAATGACCCTTTGGGAGCGCCTACAAGCCGTCTTTCGGCAGACTCCTTCCAAGCGGCATGAAGATCACCGTGTGGTCGACTTGTTACAGACCGAGTCGCACATCGATTCCACGAGGAGCCGGAGAAGCGTCGAGTCCAGCTGGCAAGCTCGTAAGCCCCGCACACGCCGTGGTAAGCGACGAGATCCTCTGCTGATCGCGATTCGTCTTGTTGTAGCCACACCTTACCCGCCGGTGCCCAGTACGACTTCTCGTCGACCCGCTACCCAGCCAGATCACACCTCATCCCATGGCCGGTCGACATCGATCGATTACGGCAATAAACCTGACCAGGATCCCTTTGCCGATCCTGGCCTTCATCAGCGGACCGCACCTCCTACAGTGGACGAGATGCGCTCGCTATGGTTACCCGATGACGATGCCTCGACGGTTGCCTATACCGACATCGGGGCCTACGGTTCCGAGATCAACGACCGCGACACGGACCACGGACACGACACAAAACGCACGCTATCGAGACTATCGACCGGATCTTTCGATGTCGAGATGACGGCGCAGGCAGAGGACGCTGGACGTCTCATGGCTGCCGATGATATGCGCGAGGTGGTGCCTCCGCGATACGATCCGGCTTGGAGAGACGCTCGCCAATGACCAAAAAAGAGTTGAAAACAACGTTCATACTTTGTACAATTATACAACACAGGAATAGATACCCTTACATGAGGTATATATCACGACGCGTGCCTACAGGTTGACTTCGCATACCTTGCCCCTGGCTTGCTGCAGCGTCGAAGGCTCCTTGCTATCTAGACCGACACCGTCGCCGATCACCAAAACTTCCCACGGTACCTTGTCGTCGAGCTCGCTGACCAAGTTGACGACAATCTTTACGTCCTTGCCATCTGGACTTTGCGCCGCCTCGATAGAGCATTCGATGTGCGATCCGTCCCGCAATACCGAACGAGCGGTGATCTTCTTGGTGATCGAGAACGAGACCACCACCGTGAATCCTTTCGCCTCGTCCGAGACCTTGTCCAGCACGGTGTGACCTTCCTTGCCGATGATCACGGCGTGATCTTGACGAAGCAACAACGGCAAGGTCATGTAAGAATGGGTCTCATTGACAAAAGTCCCACCTTCGACGCGTCTGCCGTCTAGCAAGCTCGTCCAACTTCCCGGCGGGACGTAATACTCGACGTCATCCTCGTCAAAGACTGGGGCGACCAACAATGCGTCTCCTAGCATGTACTGGCTATCGACGAGCCAAGCAGTCGGATCTTGAGGGAATTCGAGGAACATGGCGCGCATCAACGGATGACCCGATTTGACGGCGCCCTCGATCGACAAGGTCGTCAAATAGGGCTCCAATCGGTTCTTGAGCTTGGTAAACTTTGACAATACGAGCGAGGACTCGTCGTCGAATTGCCAGGGAACTCGGTAGGTCTCGGAGCCGTGCAATCGTGAGTGGGACGAGAGGAGTCCGAACTGTACCCATCGTTTGCTGTATCGCACGTGCCGTTGGTCTCAGCTACCGTGTTTGGGCAAGCAAAATGCTGCTACTCACTAGATTGCGGCCTCCTTCCCGGTTCCCTTGTATACAGGCTTGTTCTTTCCCTCGGCCTTGAACCCTCCGATATCATGAGCAAAGTATCCGAACCCGCTCAAACAGAGTGACAGACCCCCGCGTATGGTCTCTGCCATCCCCGTAAACGTCTGATCGCAATCGCCTCCCCAGTGGACTGGCAAGGTCTGTCCCGAGGCCATGGCGGACCGAGCGAACAAGCAGGCCTCGCCCTCGCCCTTTTCTTCGGTCAATACCTCCCAGACCGCCTTATTGTACAGCGTGGTGCTGCGATCATGTAAAAAGCGTCTGTAGTCAGCGAAATAGTCGTGGCGACTCGTTCTGAGCCAAGCAACCTACTAAAAGTTGTGCATCGCCTTCGGGTTGCTCTTGTCGTGATAGACGACCCCGTTCGCTGGAATCCGCTCGCCGAAATCGGTCTTGAAACTATCCACGCCGAGCTTGACCAACCCCCTCAACTGGTCCTTGTACCACTCGGTAGCTTCCGGGTTGGTGAAATCGACGACGGCCATCCCGGCCTGCCAATCGTCAGTCTGCCAAGTCTCTCCCGTGACTCGTCTGATGAAATACCCCTTCTCGTCCCCCTCTGCGAACAACCGGGATTCTTGCCCGATGTACGGGTTGATCCAGACGCAGACCTTCAATCCGCGTTCATGCAATCGTCCCAGGAACCCAGCCGGGTCTGGGAAATATTCCGGGTCAAAGGTGAAGTTGCACCATTCGTGCGCTGGCATCCAGAAACAATCAAAGTGAAAGACGTGCAACGGGATGTCCCTCTCCTCCATCCCGTCTACGAACTGCATGGCCGTCTTCTCATCATACGACGTCAGGAACGAAGTCGATAACCACAGACCGTAAGACCAGTCTGGCGGGAGGGGCGGTCGACCGGTCAACAAGGTGTACCGCGTCAATATCTCTTTCGGGGTGGATCCAGCGATGATGTAAAACCGGATGGTCTCCCCCGGGACCGAAGCCTGAACTTTGGACATGATATCGGATTGGACTTCGACAGAGACGTGGTCGGCGTGATCGTAGTAGACGCCGTAACCCCGGTTGGTCAGGTAGAACGCGACGTTCTTGTAGGCTTTAGATAGGCGATCTTCAGATTATGTAAGTATAGAGTGCACAGAGAAGGACCAACTTACCCGAAGCACTGCTCGTCCCCCCATCCTCGTTGGAAAGCTCGACCGTCTGTCCATTCTTGATGAACGGCCCGAACCTCTCGCCCAGCCCATAGACCTGCAAAAACCAACCCAACCCGACAGCCCGACCCCCCGTGTCCCATTTCCACGATCAGCCCATCTCGCTTCAATTCTATCCTCTCCAAAAAAAACGCCAAAACGACTCGAGAAGACCATGACTGACCTTCTCCCCAACCCCCAAATTAAGCGCGACCTTCATATACCCCTTCCTCCCCCTAGCCATTTCCCGGTGATAAGGATCCGAGATCGTCGTGACCGCGTTCTCCCTGACCGCATCTTTCGGCGAACTCTGTTTATCGAGGATCCAAGAGAGGCTGTCGGCTCGGATCTCTGTCAAGAGTTTCTTCTTCTTCTCCTTCTCCTTGGATGAGTTGGATGAGTTGGATGGGTTGGATGGGTTGGTGTAGAAAGTAGGTGCGCGCGAGCGTGTAATCAAGGATTACCGGGATTATTTCCCCAGGATTACTGGGGACTGGGGTGATGCTTAGTCAGCATCACCCAAGCTGGGACCTCACCTCGGTGATGAAAATCTCGGACAACTAGATCATCAATATACACCACTTGACTGTTAGATCTCAAGCAATACCTTGAGTTCTAACAGGTCAGTACCTTTGTATTGGTTAATAGCACATGCCGATTGATAAAGCAATACCTTGAGTTCTAACAGGTTATGAGCCCAGCTGTTGACCCGTCTTCTCTACGTGTCAACTTCTAATCAGCCACGTCGACAGATCGACCTAGAACTTGAGATAGACAAGTCAGATAGACATCTTCTACTACACCGGATAACAGGAAGACTTTCCCTTCCCTAGACATTAGTAAACCGACCATCTCCATTACCTCGCTATCCTTCACCATCATGTCCGATGACGAGATCACCACCAAAGGACCCAAGGTCATTGTCCTTGCCCGAGCCGGGGTCAACTATGTCGAATGGCTGGAGTCCATTCGAGACCTCTTGGCTATCAAACGCCTGCTTCCTTATGTGAAGTATGATGCCAAGGGTGAACCGGTCAAGCAGAGACCGGTCCTTCCGGAAAAGGGTGACATCACCGAGAAGATGACGGAGGCCGCTGAAGACTACGACCTCAAATGTGCCCAGGCTCTGGGTTACATCCGGCCTTCGCTTGGGGTAAACAAGCGATCAATCCAGGGGATTGATCACCCGGCCAAGGCCATGTACAAGATCAAGGAGATCCACTCCAAGACCACCTCGTTCGATGTCCAGATCCTGATCGATGAGTTTGCCAACCTCCGCCCTGTTGGAGACGACTTTGAGGGGTACATGGCAAGGTTGGACACCGTGGTCGAGGGTCTGGAGGCCAACGGACTACAAAGGGAGGATGTGGAGATCATGGCCCAATGGTCCAAGTGTCTCCGATCCTACCCGGAGGGACACCCTTACTTCAAGGCTGGAGAGTTCCTTCAGTCGAACATCACCATGGGGGTCGATGTCAAGAAGGAGTCGGTCGAGAGGATGATTCTGGCCGCCTACCGTGACATTGCCAACAAGGAGATTGCCGAGAAGGATGAGGAGAAGGCCTTCCAGGCAATGGCAGCCAAGTTTGGTTATGCCAAGATTGGGACCACCGGAGTTGGATTCGGGACCGGTGGTGTTGGGAGGCGGACCTTTGGGACCGGGACCGGGACCGGGACCGACACCAGGACCTGCAGGTGTTGCGGGCAGAGGGGGCATATCGCCAGGGAGTGTCCTCAAGCCGAACCCAATGGGTGCCACTCCTGTGGCAAGGCGGGACATCGGGCTCCCACCTGCCCTCACCCGGACATGGTTGCCTACAGGCAGAGGCACGGAGGAGGAGGATTGGGACCGGGATTTAGAGGTGGTGAAAGGGCCGCTGCCGCTGTATCTTCTTTTGATGCTGCTATGCAATCCATGACCCTCTATCGACGTCAGCCCGATCAAGCCTTGAACATCACTGAGAAGGCTTACTCACTTGCGACTAGGAAGATGACAACCCTGATCGATTCAGGTTGTTCAAGACACATGTTCGGGATGAAGAGGTTCTTTGACCTATCCCCAAACTATCGGAGAATGACTGCACCTGTCGTGGTTGGAAACGGACAGGTGATCTATGCTGAGGGGATGGGCGACATCTTCTTGACCATCGAGGTTGGAGGAAAGAAGGCAGAGCTACATCTTGCAAACTGCCTGTATGTTCCCAAACTCAGTTCGAACCTGATCTCGATCTCACAGCTGGACAAAGCCGGATCGGACATCATGTTCACGGAAGGCAAGGCGATCTTGAGGAAGAACAACAAGATGACCTTGATCGGCAAGATGTTGGATACCAACCTGTATGAGGTCAATGCAAAGTCTCCGGCATTACCTAAGATGGATTCAGCCAACACGGCATCGATCTCAGGACTGGGGAATATCTGGCACCAACGGCTGGGACATCTGGGTGGGAACTCGATACGGAATCTGAAGGATTCTGTGGATGGGTTTAACCAGATGACCGTACCACACCAGTGCGAGAGCTGCATTCTGGGAAAGATGACAAGAGCTCGATTCCCGGACAGCTCATCACGGTCAACAGAACCACTCCAGCTGATCACCTTCGATCTTGCTGGGCCTTTTGATGAGGCTATCGGAGGAGCCAAGTACTTCATGATCATGGTCGATGATTACTCCAGATACTACCACGTCGAACTCCTCAGGACCAAATCAGAGGCAACCCGATGGTTGAAACAGGTTCTGACTCAATGGGAAAATCAGTTGAGTCGATCAGTCAAGGTTCTTCGGTCCGATGGTGGGGGAGAATTCGACAACAGAGCGATCAGCCAGTTCTGTGAAGAGAAGGGGATCCGAGCTCAGATGACTACAGCTCGAACACCAGAACAGAATGGGGCAGCAGAGAGAGCTGTCCGGACCATCAAAGAGGGTACTCGGACTCTCTTGATCGATTCCGGTCTCAGTAACAAGTACTGGGGTGCTGCTGCAAAGAACTTTGCATACGTCAGGAACCGGACCCGGACCGCAAAGACAGGAGAGAAGACACCGATAGAACTCTTCACGGGAAAGAGACCGTCGGTCAGTCATCTGAGGGTGTTTGGATGTGTCGCTTACATGCACATACCAAAAGAAGACCGGGTTGGTCAGATCTGGAAACCCAAGGCAAAGCGGTGCATCTTCCTTGGATATGGAGAGGAAGAGTTGAAGGCCAAGAAAGCTTGGACACTCTTCGATCCCTATGCTCTCAAGAAACATGTGACGGTACATGTCAAATTCTGTGAAGACCAGAGATGGGCCGATCAAAAGACCAACATCGCAAAAGGAGACATCTTCTTCCAGGACATCTCACCTGCAATCGGGGAAGCCGAACTGACTGTCGGGGAAGAGGCCCAACCGGTTGATCCGGAGATCGGGGAAGCTGGACCGAGGACCGATGAAGCTGAACCAAGGATCAATGAAGCTGAACCGGAGATCCTGGACCCTCGACCGGAGATTGGAGAAGCTCAACCAGAGGTTGGGGAAGCTGAGCGAGAGATGGGGGAAGTTGAGCGAGAGATCGGGGAAGCCGAACCTCAAATAGGGGAAGCCCCAGTTCAGCCAGCAGGACCGATACCACTGCCGCCAAGTAGGATTCCGGTCCCGGTGGATCAACAAAGCACTCGAAAGAAAGGGACTGGTATCTGGAAGAACTATGAATACGTTCCAGTACCAGCTCAAGGATCGGGGATTCCGCAGGTCTTACCGGATGGTACAAGACGATCCCGACAAACTCCAAAGAGATTCCAGGATCATGCGGCCATTGCACACGGACCCAAGCTTGAAGACATAATGGATCAAGCTTTCTTGACATCGGCTGAGATGGATCCTGCTGATCCCATCTATCTGGATGCGAAGCTGGATGAGATGGCTTCGATGGCCAAGAACCAGGTCTGGACCCTGGTCCCGAGGCAGACCGGACAACCAAAGCCGATCTCAGTCCGATGGGTCTGTACCATGAAAGACCTACCCGATGGTACTCAAAAGCCAAAGGCCAGACTGGTTGCTCGGGGCTACACCCAGAAAGCTGGGATCGACTATCAAGAGATCTTTGCCCCGGTTGTCAAACTGGAATCCATTCGGTACATCATCGCTCGAGCGTGCCAGAGACAGATGGTTCTGTCACAAGGTGACGTCAAGACCGCCTTCCTCTCCAGCAGCATGGAAGGAGAGACCGTCTACATTGAACAGCCTGAGGGATTCAAGGAACCCGGGAAGGAGGACCATATCTGCCTATTGAACAGAGCGATCTATGGTCTTCATCAATCTCCTCGTCTGTTCTACCGGCACATCAGAAAGATCCTGGGTGGATTTGGGTTCTCATCGATCTCAGCAGATCAGTCGGTGTTTGTCAAGGACACTCCGGAGGGAAAGGTGCTACTTGGTCTATATGTGGATGACGCACTGGTAGCTGGAGACACCGACAGCTTGGTCCAGGAAACCAAAGCCTTACTCAACACCAGGTTTGAGATGAAGTGGACGGATGATCCCAAGGTGTTACTGGGGATCGAGATCAAACAGGACCGGGAGAAGGGAATCATCACCCTATCTCAAAGGAAGTTTGCTCGGGAGATCCTGGAACAGTTCAATATGATTGACTGTCATCCCGTCAAGACTCCAGTGGAAGAGGTCATCAGCGCATTCCCACCTGAAGACCGACCACCACCTGATACCAGGTTTCCTTTCCGGGAGTTCATCGGAAAGGCAAATTATCTAGCTCGGGGGACACGACCGGATCTCTCCTTTGCAATCTCACACCTTGCATCATTCTGTTCGACCTACCAGGAGACACACTGGAAAGCGTGTGAGCGGGTAATGAAGTACCTTCAGGGCACCATCGATGCTAGTCTGGTCTATCACCGAGACGGCAATCAGAAGATTGCTGGGTACTCGGATGCCGAGTATGCCGGAGACAAGGGAGATCGGAAATCTGTCGGGGCATATGTGTTCACATTGGCCAATGGGCCGGTATCATGGCAGAGCAAGAAACAGACCACAGTAGCCTGGTCTAGCACGGAGGCCGAGTACATCGCTCTCGGCTCAGCAGGGAAAGAAGCGGTCTGGCTCTCGATCATGGATCAAGAACTAGGATTTCACGATGGCAAACCGGTCACCATCTTTGAGGACAACCAGCCAGCTATCGCATTGGCTAAGAATCCCACCAACCATGCTCGGACAAAACATATCGATGTTTTGCATCACGCTCTTAGGGGATTGATCGAGGACAAGAAGATCGAGGTCGAATACCTCAACACCAAAAAGATGATTGCCGATCTCCTCACCAAGCCAATCACCGGAAAGCAGCTCCAACTACTTTGCAATGACATGAATCTGAAGATCAACAGGGCACCTACACCAATGTCGTCCACCTCTGAATAGAGAAGTCCAAGGGGAAGTGTAGAAAGTAGGTGCGCGCGAGCGTGTAATCAAGGATTACCGGGATTATTTCCCCAGGATTACTGGGGACTGGGGTGATGCTTAGTCAGCATCACCCAAGCTGGGACCTCACCTCGGTGATGAAAATCTCGGACAACTAGATCATCAATATACACCACTTGACTGTTAGATCTCAAGCAATACCTTGAGTTCTAACAGGTCAGTACCTTTGTATTGGTTAATAGCACATGCCGATTGATAAAGCAATACCTTGAGTTCTAACAGTTGGAAGGTGGGACTGGGCCGTAAAACCGGATCCCGAAAGAACCCGGTTGCAGGTCGACCTCCACCTCAGACCCATTCTCGTCCGAAGACGAGAACAAGCTCACGGAACCCGGCCGTTTTCCCGTCTCTCCGCTCGAAGGCCCAAAGACGATCCGACCATTATCATCCTCTTTGCTCCTAGCCTCAGCTCCAGCTCCAGCTTTGCCTTCACAGGGAAAAAGTCGTACCCGTGGTTCACTCTGCGCGGGCTTGGCTTTGAAATGAGCTACTTCCACCCCGATAATCCCCGGTGCCGGAGAATGGAAAGTAGCTGAAAGTGTCGGTTTGTTCAGGGTATCTCCTCGGTTCTTTACTGGGCGGGTGTGGAATACCGCTTTCAGCTCTTTAGTAAGAGATCGAGATGGAGAAGAAGATTCCGTAGAGCGGAGAGCGGGCGGTGCGGTGCTAAGAGAAGGATAATAAGGTCGTTCCAAGGCGTCGAAATCGAGCTTCCCGACTTCCTGGGCCGAGGTGAGTTCGACGTCTTCTCTTCCGTACCAAACTCCTTCGGTGAAGCGCATGTTGTAGTAGTAGCCGTAGCTGATATGTGGTATGTGGGGATCGATATCAAGTATAGGCGCGTTGTCGTCGTTGCAGAATCGAGCAGGGAGAATGAGTGGATCGCGCACCCTGCCCCTAGCCTTCTCTCCCTCTATATACCCACACCACCCGTTTTCAACTCCCCGACTAGTCTACCGATATCGCCATCCGCACACAGCACTTCCACCACATCCACACCTCATCGTCATCACATGATCCCAGCACACCGTCCTCCAAGGTCGAGAGGTCGGTCGGACTATCCTCGGCGAGTTCCCTCATGTCGGTCGATGGCTGATGACGAATCATCCAACATCCTTGGGGGTCGGCGATGTCCGGTCCGTGTTTCCGCGTTTCAGCCTGCAAGCCATCCTTCTATCAGGCGGGAGGGGAAGGACGTTCTTGAAACGGCTCTTTGGTGAAGGTTTGCGTTTCAGAAGATCACAAGATCTCAGCAAAATCTCAGCAAACGTCCGTAATCATGTCAGGACGGCGGGCAGTTCGCGAGGTGAGACGGGCCCAGTCGAGCATACCAATATCTCGGGTCGGCGCGAAAGGGAAAAGAACCATCATACCATAGTCATGAACCCTTTCCGCAGCTGGACCGCTAGTATAACAAATGACTTCATGTCTGAATGATCAGTCGAACGAGTCGAGGTCCCTCCACTCAACTCATCTACATCTGCTTGTATCTGTTATGATTGTCATCATCAGCCCAGCTGATCCCTACATTTCAGACCAAAGCCGAACGTAGCCCTTGAGTTTGACTACGTAACCTTCATCAGAAAATCGTCAGAAGCTCAAAGGCATCAGGTCACAAAAACGAAACAAGGGGATAAAATTTCATTACGGTCTCTATCCGACGGATCGCGAAAATGACCGACATCGAGGAGGCGAGAACGTCGGGATCTTTTGTCCAGCTTCTTGCCGTGCGCGGGGTTTTCATTTCAACAGCTATGAAGTCACGAGATGAGGGGATGAATGAGTTTCATTACGGTTCCTCCCGTTGAATAACGAGGCCAACGGCGTAGAATTAGTACGTAAGGAGGGAATGGCGGTTGGCATCCTTTGTCCAGTTCCTCACAGCTCTCGAGTTCCAAGAATCACCGGTTTCTCCCGCCTTTTGGGCCGTGGAGAGGAGGCAAGACGAAGAGGAAAGGTGAGAACCATGCCACTTCCTTTATTCTCGATACATCTACTTTATCCTCCTTCAAGAACCCTAATATTCCACAAGCAACTTCTGCGACCCATTTGCACATAGACAAATAGCTGATCAGATACGATGAATCGATCCAAACCATACATTCCCATCTTGAGAGCCACACGTCGTTCTCCATCGATACACTCACTCCCCGGCACACCTGTTCTTATTCACAAGCCATGTCTTACTCCAGTCAATCCATCTCCAACCGCGAGCCGACTCGTGACAGCTCTATAGAATCTGGGTACATCCTCGATAGAGTGGAGAATGGCATCACCCAGAGAGCACACCAGGCAATACAACAGACTTACCGTGGACTAGGAGCGGAAGCGACTGGACAACCGGCGTATGCTACCAATGCGTATGCTGTTCTGGAAGTATTTTCGTTTGAACAACGGAGGCTGGGTGATAATAGGATATCTCTGCCCGATGCGAACCGCTACAAGATGGCCAACGCTATCTCCCTAGTGGTCCCACCGCAATGCCCAGATGCCACAGACGTGCGAAGGCTGTTGGAATTCGCTGAAGCTCACTGAAGCCAGCCTCCCGATAACATTGTTCACATCGTCGGTAACTTGTAGCCATGCCCCTTTCCGTCTATAGAATTGCTCAGATGACTACGTTCTACACATGATACGCCAGAAATTGTATTGATCATGTGAGCCTGATTGAGAACGTTTTGTATCCTGATAATCGAGGCATCCCGACAGGTCAGCTCATGAGGGAGAGTCGAACGGTCTTGCGTTCAATTCGGGTCCAAACAGTATGAGGTCGCAACAATAGCCAACATACTCCGTATCGGATTATCCTTTATATGATGACTAGGCTTCTGCCATTAGGTAACGCCTCGTTCGCCTACGCCCAGCCCAGGCGTCTCTCTCGCAGTCTTCGGGGTAGGAGACGTGTCAATCATCCCCGCAAGCAGATACCACGGGCCAACGTATTTGTTTGATCTAGCGCTTCTTTCTTCCTACTTCTAAGGTTGCATGTCACATACTCGCGATACACACTTTTTTTTGTTTGTGGATCTGCGGATCATGGACCGCAAGCAAGCCAGTACCCTGACCTCTGGCAGCAGAAACGAGAAAGTACCCGTTCGCGATGCTCGAAAAGACTGTCCCCTAGGCCTGCAACATAGCCATCCAGAACACGACGGGAATATGATTGATCTCTTCTACCGCCGCAACGTCGCACAAGGCGCACACTGTACAGCCACCACAGACTCAAAATCATGCCGCTGCTGCTCCTATTCCAGGTCTTGTCGCGACGGGACAAAATCTCGCTAAGAAGGTCAAGCGCCTCGCGCCATCCGTAACCTTGCTACCGACGAGCCAGCCTTCCCCTTGCATCCCTTTCATGGCTCGACAAACAGCGAACGCAGTCTGCATCGAGGGTCCCATGATCATGATACACGAAATCTCGTGATGTTTGAACAAGATCAGCTGATCCCTTTTTACTGACACAAAAGCCTTTCCATACAAATTCCTGCCTGTAAGCCATCTCGAAGGTGATGCATACAAGTGGAAGAGATGTTGCATTACGGTTGGACTTGACGCAGTCGATAGGATGAATGAGGCAAGAACTGTCTAACTATCGAGCTTCCTTAGGGATTCTGAGCTTTCCAGGTTATCCTGGGTAGGGGTGGCAGCGTGATGCATTGGTGACTGTCCATCCTTTGTTTGGACCCCTTCATCACGATCGAGACCTTTGCCAGCACGTCAGACCCGGGCCATTGATATAAGACCGTCGGCTGGTGTGCAACTTGATGACCAGTCGACAGGGAATTCAAGCCCACTTGAAACTGACAGACCTCGTTATCGTCACCTTCCACTCCCGATTCATCGAGTGCTTCACAATGTCAGTCTGGGGCGACGACGATACTTCGTATCTCAGTGATGATGGATCCAGTCGAGACGACAGGCCGCCCAACTTTCGTGGCGATATCTACAAAGAGATCGAATATATTTACGACAACACAGACGAGGAGAGACATCATCAACACGCCCTGAACGAATACTTGCAGGGCGCCATGAACCAGTGTGGTATCCAGCTGCCCGAACGGAAAGCTGGCAGGATGAAGTTTGCGGTTACTCAAGTCTTGAATGACTATTCCTGGGAGCTCTGGCGCACCCTTCTCTGGGACCGACTGGTGAGATACGCTCACAACAACCCATGACGAGAACACGGCCACATCTCAGAAGTATCCTCACGCAACCCGGTTATGCTCTTTGCTAGCTCGTAGCGATGTAGTTTACCTTTAGCGGGATCTTCTGCTTGTCATGTCAGGTTTCCATTTCCCGTTCGAATCCTTTACATGGGAAACTTTCCAGTGTTCTGCGGACAGACCACGAGGCGCCCTCTCGTATTCTAGTGATCGAACAGACGCTCTTAGCTCACCTTCGCTGCTGTAAGACCCAGACGGGACATTCTTGATTCATGAAACGTTCTCTATGCTTGTGCATGCACGCCTGGGCAGGCCTGAGTCACTGATCTGGGATCGCTCAGAGCTGCGGCGTCAAGAGACGAGCCCTTTGACCGGACTGTCACTGTGAACGCGCCTCCTTTGTCCTTCACGTCGAGAATCGATCGGCCCAGCAAGGTGGCAGATGGTCTCACGTCATAGCGCTTTGCTCTTGCGCACTAAGACTATTTCTATCCCAGCACTATTAGATATGTACAGAATGTCAGCTTCACCGTCATTCTCGCTAACACGGCGATATCGTCTTTGACTTGATACGATGTACACCCGCCGCGTGTTGCTTTCTTTCTATGCTTAATCTCCGCGACCTGAGATTGAACCACTAGTTTCTTTCACCTATGAGATAGGCGGTCTTTGATGATGTTTGCATGTTTGTACAATAATACCGTGAATTCCGCTGCTTCGCCTGTGTCGGCCGACGACACCTGCGGCGCCGTCGATGTTCAGTTCAAAGGTTGTTTACTTTGTTGTGCTGAGACTTCTAGGGAACGTGAAACTCGCTTAGTTAGACTCCTAGAGGACCATAGGTGCGCAGGTTGTCTCCATACAACTTGTCTTTTCCGTCTTCTTTTATATATATAATAGATGTGTTTGGCCTTTGATCCACGTACAATAGGTCTGTATAAACGGACTCTTGATCCATCGTCTGAAGATCACAACAATCACGTCCACCGATATCGATTGCGCCGTAATAAACTGCAGTACAACGACGATGCTCAGAATTTGCTCTGTCTGGCGATGCATCAAGGCGGAAGAAGCCGATCTAGCGACGGAGACGAAGTCATTTGGCATATAGACCGGCGTTGTTCGATTCCTTTGATACAATGTTCTCAGGAAAGGCGGAGTTGCCTGACGGTATGGTTCTCAGCTCCACGCACATATATACTCTAGTTGCTGTTAATTTCAGATGAACGGCGACGAGGTAAGCTTTCAGAGATGGTATACAACCAATCTCTTGCTGCACGGTATTAACCTTCGAAACGATGTCCAGTCATGAGAGCAAAGGTACATCGACCCGCCAGGGGAGCAGTGCTGTCACCGACACGTCTGACGATTGGTTCCGCAATCCTGAAGTCGATCTTGACGTTCGGATCGTGGAAGCGTATAAAGCATCGACCTCGGCAGGATGGGCGACCAACGGCGATAAGGCAGACGTTCTGGGATGACTGGAGTCAGCGGCGACACAAGCCAATCTGGGAGCGAAACCCAAACCGATCCACTTGGCAACAAAGCAGATGATCAAGTTGGCGGACGCCATCGTCAACGTCGCTGAACCATACGACCTTGTTAGTCTTGATTATTGTAGGCTGCTGGAACTCGCTGGAGGGGCGGGAAAATTAGTATGTTAATTCGCTACGGCAGACGAGTTCCTGGCAATGTAATGTTGTGAGAAGCAGTATGATACATGAATGCATCTGGACTAAACTATAGGACATTCTTTCGATTTGAACCCCAACCGTAATGTCAATAATGAACGCAACATAATGCTTGCGAGCGCAGCGCTAGACTGGTTTATTGGAACCGAGATCTGTCAGCTCCGGTTAGGAAGCGAAATGGCGAAATGTACAGCTGACGTTCACTTTGTCGTATCTATATGGGCCTACCTGGCGCATACAGTATGGATCTCAGCGGCGTGATAGTCACTACTGTACCAGACTTCAGATCCTGAGCAGCGGTCCAGCCGGTGAAGCACTGACTGGTATTCAAGATGGTCGTTCACAGAGCTGAACAAAGACCGTTTTTAGTCCGATGATCGAATTCCAAATCAGTCAGGCCAGAGCGGGCAGGAGCCTAGAGAGGTAAGCGAGAAGACGAGGAAGGATGTTGCATATTGTCGAATCCTATTGTTCTCCAACACGTCTATTGTTCTTAGAACAATAGACCACATAGAACAATAAAGCACATTCACTCTTCACACCTTTCCTTTTGTTCCCGCTTAGCAATCTGCGACCACAGTCGCAAGTTGCGACCACAATCGCAACTTTGCGACTACTGTGGTCGCATGTTCAGTCACAACTTGCGACTCTGGTCGCAAGTAGGCCTTCCCAGATTAATATATATATCAGACCATTCTGGTCTCATTTCCTGATCCCCTCTTGTATATTTTATCTTCATGCAAACTATACAACGGTGATCAACTCGATATCCAACACATATTGCTCATCCCATGAATCTCGCTCTCTGTGCAAAAAGCGGGAACCGCCTTGAGATCTATTCCCGAGCGGTGTCTTGGCGAGACGTTTTCTTCCTGACATTCGGTCCCTTGGCAAAGGTTATTGCAGGCTTAATGAACGTAACGAAGTGGGTATGAAGCGGTCGGACCTTACTCGGCGGGTTTCTTTAAGCGCGTTTCATCCATTTTTGCGCTAGCGCTTAGTGAAACAGCTGATTCCGTCCTGACAATGGTCGGCTATTCGCGTAAACACATAGCTGTTGGCGAATATGAGGCTCATATCCGAAATATCAGGTACTCATATCTGGTGGGCCCTTGTCGTGTCGCATGAACAGACATCCTCAGTCGGCGGAAGCTGTCGTACCTCTGTACCTGCGGGCGGACTGTTCGAGAGACAAGGTCTGTATGGGGCCACTTCTGGGTCCCCAAACGGTGCACCAGCTCGAGTACATATAGTTCAGACAATTGCAGTCGGATGTCTCCTTGTCTTGGTCTTCTATTGTATGGTACATCGCTCCAACACTCAAGTCTACTTCATCATCGACGATGATCTCTCTCCACCTCCTCGCTTCAGCCCTCCTGGCTGCCAGCGCTCAAGCCGCTACTGGCTACATCGACCTCAGCGCTTCGGGCGGGGTTCCCGATGGCAGTGAGTAAGCTTCGACGAGTATTGTTGATCTCTCTACTGAACTTTTCCCCCTCATTATCGCAGAGGCTTCTGGTATTCTCTATGGGGTACCCAACGGACCCGCTTATACCCCGAATCCGGTTCCCGCTGTCCCGTGGAACCTCTTCAAAGGCGCCGGTATCAACCTGATGCGAGCGGGAGGCGCCCAAGTCCCGGCTCCTGGATGGTCTTCGGGTGACATCAAGAATTATGAACAGCGGTTCGAGTCGGCCAAACAGAACTATTTCGATACGATGGCCAACGGGGTCAAGACCTTTGTCTTGCTGCCAGTAAGTCGACGCAGGTCCTTGTCGACGAGGCCGCGCTTACGCTTTCGTGGCTGCTTATCCCTGGGACCGATTTTGGTCCCGACATTTAGCATGGTAATCGAAAGCTCTGCAACGGACTACGTTATGTAGAAGTCGGCTGAACCACTTTTTTCGGCTGCTTCGCAGACATGTGGGGAGCCGACTCGGTCACCAAGACCCCCGTCTACCCATGTGATAACGGAGACTGTACTTACGTCAGTACCGTCAACACATCCCAGTCGATGCTAGAGAAAAATTGGCTGACTCTGTCTTAACAACAGTATGGTCAATTTTTGGATCGCGTCATTGCCGATCTCAAGGCCAACAACATGTTGAAGGGCATGCAGATCGACGTCTGGGTGAGTCCCGCTCTGCATCAATACTGCATTCGAAACCTGGCTACAGTACTGATTTTGCCTATTCGAACAATGCTTCCTAGAACGAGCCGGACGTCCCCCTCTTCTGGGACCGATCTCAAGACCAATACTTCCAGATGTGGGACTACGCCTTCCAGAAATACCGTACCGCCTTCCCCTCCTCTTCGGGCGTGACCATCTCCGGACCCGCTTACACCGGTCCTCCTAACGAGGGTAACTCTTGGTGGACCAAGTGGGCGGACCATATGAAGAACAAGCCGGCCGTCTACCCGGACGTGATCACCTATCACCAATTGCTCGGTCGACAAGATTCCTTCAATGATCCGTTTGAGTCTAAGAGGGTCTTGGATATCATCCAGAGCAAGAACAACCTGCCTCGAAAGCTGGTTCAGGTCAATGGTAGGTATCGAATTCTGCCCTATACCCCGGTTGTCACTCTTGCTTACGTTATGGTCTACTAGAATACGCCGGCTCGGACGAGCAGAGTCCCGCCTACTCTGCCTGGTTCATCGGTAGATTCGAGCGTACCGGACAGCAAGGTCTTCGAGCCAACTGGGGCTACGGCCGAAACTTGCACAACGACTTTGCCCGTCTCGTCGCAGGTGTCGAAGCCGGTTCACCTTACACCCTCGGGGACTGGCACGTGTACAACTACTACACCCAAGTGCAAAAAGGATCCATCACCAGGGCCGGTGCGGACGACGTCCTCTGGGACCTGTTCGTCACCCAAAACCGCGGAGCCAAGCAGGTCAACGCTCTCGTCGGTTCTCGTGGCCAAGGTACCCCTTGGAACTCGCCCGATTTCCCCATAACCATGTCTTCGGTCAGTACCGTCTTTGGCGCGGCTACCAAGGTTCGGGCCGTGATCAAGGAGATCCCGTTCAACAACGCCGGACGGGTCGATGCCCCTACTGTGGTCAGTAACGCCACTTATAACGTCGTCAACAACCGGGTCGTCTTGCCCATCTACAGTCGAGTCGACAACGCCTACACTATTGACGTGTACGCTGCTTAGTCTCGAGAGCTGACTTTCGCTCGCAGAGCGCAAGCGAATGGTTGATGCGTTCAATAAGCGTGAGACAGACAAAAGGAAACCCGGCTCATATACGAAACCGTCGGGACGAAATGTGGTGTTTGGAAAACAAGGCAATCTCCTTAGTTTGGAAATAATGTTGAATAACTGAGACAATCACCAATCACAAAGTAAATATAAGATGTTCATGATGCCGTTGTGGACCTGTTCGGATCCGAGAATCGACGGAAGTGAAACGATCAGCTTCCGTCTTTTCGCTTGGCGTTCCAATTGAGGTCAGCTGAGTGGGATCTCGATGGTACGATGGTCAGATGATCCCGTGATGTGCGACGGAAGTTGAGTCATGAAACTCAGAGTTTCCGTAGAACGTTCTACAGCGTAAGCGGAATCACAAGACCGATGTCTCCCTCTCCGCTCCCTTGCCTGCCACATGATCCACCGCCGATCGTTGTTTCTCGCTACCGGAACTCGTCTCAACAAGGATGAAACCTTATACTTTCCGCGTAAACGAGGCGAAAGGAACCCATGTCCGCGAATCCGTTTACAGATATAGATATATACGATAGAAGGTGGTCTGCATCTCGTTGCAGCGTATAGCCTACATTCTCAGTGTACACAACCTTCCCATCCCACGATATCGCACGTCTTTGATCGGCGCAATTCGCGATGAGACACAAGCCCTCCGAATTATCCACGCTGCCACCCTCCTGGGCTCCCAATTATCCGGCTCAGCTCGTTCATCGAATTTTCCCCATCCTTCAAGCTGTGGACGACCTCTCCAAATCGTGGCAGAACGAACACTATGCGTGGCTTTGCGGAAACGAACTGGACGAAGGAGAGGCAGGACCTGAACTTCCAGAGGAGTTTCTCGCAGTGAAGAAACTGCTGAACAAATTGCTCGAGTGAGTAGAGATGAGATCTTGCTAAAGACCTATTCAGGATTAGCTAATCACTTCCACGTCTTTCTTTACTCCAGTGACGCCGATCATGACACGCTCAAACGGATCATCACCAAACTAGCCGCAGCTTCGGTATTCGAATCCACCTCCATCCACTCGGCACTCATCGACCTCGACCTCGCTCCCCGGATCATGTCATGTGTCGACCCAAAGTCGGGCGATATGGACCTTGAAATGGCTTTGCGCGCTTCATCGTTGATCGCTAGCATGATGAGCGTCAACAACCGGTGCAACAAGGAGAGGAAACGTTCCGAAGTTTTCGGTCAGAGTGTCGACAAGGTGGGAGAGGGGCTCGGAAAGCTCTTGAGGGAAAACTTGTGGCCGTGAGTGGTCAGCTCTTCGAAGGATATCTTACTGTGGACTGTACCCTGACCTAGCTGATCCTGTTGGATGGTAGCCGCTGCGAGACTGAGGAGGCCAAAGAGACTTGCTTACAAACATTATCGACCTACCTGGACGAACTCAAAGACATCCACAACCCATCAAACCTGACCGAGATCGAAACAACTTTCACTTGGTTGACAAGTATCATCCGGGATCCGACCACCTCCCCCGAAACCCTCGACGCCGCCTATTCAGTCTATTCTCACGTCATCCCGTTCGCTCAGTTCGACCTCCCTTTTCTTTGGGTCCTCTTGAAGAAGTTCCACGAACAAGATCTTTATGCCGATATGGTCAAGGTGTGGGAACGAGAAGCAGAGACGGCCCAGACCAATTTGGGCATGCAGATCGACCTGATCTTGCAAGTCGCTATGACCAACGGAAGCAGTCAGTCCATGGATGACGATACTCGGCCGAGTGAGACGGACGTCGAGGAGCTAGAGCAGCGACGCCGGCGTTTCCTACAGACGGAAGGAGCTGTGGACGAATTGCGAAGGAGGATGTTGTCGATGTTGGAGACGGAGCAGTACGAAGACGCAGCTTTCAAGATCATGAGCGCCTTCACTTCCGACTATTGGTCCAGCTTGTTCCGGGATGGAGATGACGAGCTCTTCTACAAGCTGATCTGGTGAGCCCAAACCATCCATATCCAGGCCAGCAAGTTTCTCGCTGAATCATATTCGTTTGCAATGATATAGCAGCTTCGGTTTCTGGGACGACGCTTCAAAGCTACTCTTGACGTACAAGCTCTTCCTCTCGAACCCTGATGCAAGAGCCAGATGTACAAACGAGCGACACATAAATGCTGTGATTTGGCACTTGGCGCATGAACAGCATCAGAGTGCCGCGCTCGAGGTCTTAATGGTCTTGATTGATGGACAGGACGGCCCATGGGTGGATCTCCTGATCAAGCGCCTCGTCATGATTCTCGTCGAGTAAGTAGATCGAACTTGATCCCGGCACAAGAAACCCTGCACTAAGAGTTCCCTCCACTCCTCAGTCCCGATCTCGAGCTGGTAGATGTCGTCGAAAAGCTCTTCCGCCTCGCCAATACCCTGCTGGAGACCGATACTGCCCGCCGTATCGACATCTTCAGGCGATACAAGATCGAACCCTTGTGTCTTCATTGGGCCACGTGCAGGGATGGCCACCAAGAGGAGATCAATATCCCAGCGGCCAAGCTGTGGAGCAAGCTGAACCGAAAAGTTCTGCAGGTTACTCCTCAACTGAAAGTAAAGGCGATGGACTTCCTTGTTAGGTGAGAATTCATGACCAGCTCTGATACTGAGCCGACACCCGAAACGCTAACAACGGACCTTGGCAGCTTTCGGCAGAAACCGATCGAACCCGACGAAGATCCTTCTGGAAATGCGGAAGTCGAAACGGAAGAGAATGTGGTCAGTGTGCCGTCTGTAATATGGGATTCTCGCAATGTCAGCTTAAACCTATCAAGGCCCATCAGGCACCGCCCGAACGACCTCTCAAAAGTATCGTGGACGACCTGCAAGCTCAAATTGTTGTGCTAGAAAGTTCGCAGGCGACACCAGATATTCACGCCACTATTGCCAAGCTGTTCAAGGAGCTCTCCTGGTCAGCACAGATACTGTCTTTTTGTTTGGCTGAGCTGATAAATCTTCTTTACAGGTACCCACGGGAAGACAAGGAAGCGGTTGATGCTGCAATGATTCCCCTCCTGGCCGACTATGTTTTTCGCTACCCTGACGGCGCGAAAGAGGTGGCCAAGATCGACAAGTGGATGGGCGAGGGCACGTATCGTTACACTGATCTGGAGCGTCCTGTGGTGAAGATGCCGAAATTGACCAAGGAGGAGCAAGAGGTGTTCGGAAGTCAGGATAACGAAAACACAGATGACAGCCAAAGCGACCAAAGCCAGGAAACTGAAGATGCCATTGTCCATGATGAAGCGGAGGATACGGACGGCTCAGATACCGAAGGCGCGGATCTGTTGGAGCAAGAATCTGAGCACTCCGAGGACGGCGACAATGGAGACGAATTGGATTCCGCAAACGACGAAGGCGCTAGCTCGCGCGCCTCCGTTGCGGCCGCAGAATCTGAGGGAATAGATGAGACCGGATCAATAGACGCTCAAGAAACGATGAATGAGAGCGCACCAGCGTTGGAAAATCATCATGTAGGAGTCAATTGCGATGGATGTGGACAAGAAGATATCGCGGGAACCCGTCACAAGTGCAAACAATGCGCCAACTGTAAGCTCCGCTTCGATGTAAAAGCTACCGTATTGAGGTCGCTTACACTGGTCGGTCTGCTTAGATGACCTCTGCACTGATTGCCATAGGTAAGCAACGACAGCGTTTGGCACATCTTTCAATGATACTGATCGGCGGCGGCCATCATACACACAAATAGCTGCGCCTCGATCATCCATCCAGAACATACCTGGTTCAAATTCGCCTACCCTGGTGATATCGGTCCAGAAACCCACGAGCGCACGCGAGCTGACTTAGGTGAGCGTGTTTCCGCTTTTCTCTGACGATCTCTGAGCTGACTGTCGTCCAGCAGCTGTCATGCTCAATGGGCATCCGGGAGTCGCTTGCGCTCAATGCCAAAACCCTCAGATCTATGGGATCAGGTACGTATGCTGGACTTGCGAGAGTGAGTCATGATGCAGGTCTCTTGATCATCTGATAATCACGTGCTGAGCGATAATCCTTCCGCTCAGGGTCCTTCTGCGAGCGCTGTCAGTGAGTACAATCGTGTCGGACGAGCCCATTCAGGGGTTGACACCTGTGTTGTTGGTCTCTCAGCGAGGAAGTTACTGTCATCTGCGAGGTCGATAATTCAGGCGTTCCCTGTTGTGGTTTCTACATCAAAGAGCCTCCTGAAGGGGAAGCTGATGAGGAAGAGCCTACTGAAGAGGGGCCCGGAGAAGAGGAAGACGGCGCAATCGATGGCGCCGAAGATGTTAACGAAGACGAAGTGGAACGTCCACCACAGGAGTTCGACTGCACTCCAGAAATTCAGCGTCTGGCCAAACTCACCAACGCTGTATTGTTGACTTGTATCTAGATCGCTCAGAATATGAACAGCGGCCCGACATTGTTGAGCCGCGAAGACATGACTGATACCGTTCTGTCCTTGTCTCTTAGCCGCTGACAGATCGCGCTATCTCCGATTCGGTAATCGGATCTGGATGCAGTGGCCATGCACGAGGTCGCGTTAGAGGAAGTCTTCATACATCGTTCGTCTTCAGTACATTCGATACAGTCGCCAATTACACGTTACCTTACTTAGCTAGCGGTAGAGACATTATTATCAAACGTGAAACCAATACTAAGCTGGGCCTGCTTGGCCACCACCGAGACGTTCATCGGGTAGCAATTTCTATCCGACCGTCACCGCCACACCTCTTCGCCCCCAAATAGATATGTCGCACCGATACACGCCATCGCAACGATATCCCCCGTGTGCGCCCTCATCGAGTCCTCGTATCGCCTGATCGTACCTCGACTCCACTTCCATCCGAGCTCTCCTGCTTTTTGCTCGTCTTCCGATAACGACATCCGAGCAGCCCACTTCGTCTCCCACTCGTCTGCCAATTCTTGCCCTAGCAGCGCCCCGTCCCAAAGCGCCATATTCCCACCTTGCCCACCCGTAGGCGGCATACAATGCACCGCATCACCTAAAAGTGTTACGCGCTCATTAGTCTCCCACAAAGGCGGTCCGGCGGGGTCTGACGAGGTGGTACGCAGGACGGCCGTTTGCGAGGCGTCTTGTCCTTCTAGCAGAGCGAGGACGGAAGGCTCCCATGAGCGTTCTCGCGCGACGAACAGCGAGAGGTCTTTGGCGCTCTGACCCGTCAGGCGGACCAGACGGTCGTCTGTATCATGTTCCGCTTCCTTCTCCTTCTCTATGACGGCAGATGCGGGTGACATGCGTTTCAGAGCGTCCTGCCAGAGTTCTTTCCGGGAGACCATCGCGAAGAACACGTAATCTTCTGGCGTCTGCACTTCTCCCGCTCCAGCTTTGACCTTGTCTGCCGTGGAGATGTTGTGGTCAAAGTTCATGGTCTTGACGACCACCATCACCCTCTCCTTCGGCGGCAGCTTGACCGAGTCCACGATGAAAGCCATGCCCTTGTGCAGGCCTTTATTCATCCGTTCCAACAGCTGAGGCGTGAGTGGCGCCTTGCCATAGACGATCCGTACGCCCAGGTCGAGCGTCCGAGTGCGCTCGGCGGGGATGTCGGCTGACGCGAAAAGCTGTGCGGCGATGTTGGATCGGATACCGTCTGCTCCTACTAGTAAAGACCCTTGCACAGACTCGCCGCTCGCTAAATGAGCCTCGACCGAGTCATCGTGGACGGTATACGACTTGACCTTGGCGGAATACTTGACATGGGGGGCGATCTCGGGTCCGAGCAAGATTGAGCGGACGACACGGCGGTCGATCTGGTACGCTGTGGATTTGCTCTTCGGAATTTTCAGGTCAACAGTGACAGTGGTGACTGCACATATCGAGCGTCAGTTGCTTTGAAGGGTCTCGACGGAACCGTGGATTGTTCGGTGACGGCTTACGACCAGGAGAAAACACCCTCCATATTCCCCTACCCCCGTCCCACTTCCTGCCCACCACCCGCCTCAACAAAGCCCAGACCAACCCAAACCCGCCCGTACCTAACATCCCCCAGATCCCCTTCGCTTCCAACCTCCCGCTCTTCGCCTCCACCCTCCCGGACGCTCCACACTCTTCCCCACAAGTCTTCTCAAAGACCTCAAACTTCCCCTCGCTCAGCACCGCACGCAGCCCATCAGCACCCCCCTTGTTACCGGCTCCTCCCCCGTCTAGGGCGATCCGGTACCCCTGAGCTCGACCGTGCAAGTCAGAGTCGCGCTCTAATACCAGATACGGGATCCGGGCGCGGGAGAGGGAGTTGGCTAGTGCGAGTCCGCCTAGGCCTGCACCTGCTATGAGGACGGGGAGGATAGGGGGTGAGGTCGAAGCGGGGATCGTAGTGGTAGCAGGAGAGGGTGATGCGAGGGTGGATGTGCTGTTGAACCGCATAGCAGCTAAGGGCTTTGTCGAGTGTCCGAGAGAAGCGCTTCGAGCGACAATGACCCCGGTTGTTTGAGCTGAGCGGGCCAGCGTCATGTCAAGCTGGATTGGCCGTTTGATAGGCGTCAAGGTCGGGCAGTTTCCATACGAATGCGAAATCGCTTGTAGGCGCGTTCCATGCAGACTTTGTTTTAGATGTGTCAGGGGGTCGACCATCGAGATCGAAAATGAAGCTTGATGCCATCTGAACATCATCTTCGTGATCTCTGATCTCCGTGATCATCATCCAATGACAGAAGCATATGGCCGATAAACGCGTGTTCACATCGGCGAGGACGATGCCGAACCTCGGAGCCGGGACTGTCTGCAAGAAAGCGGAAGCTTATAACGACTGAGTATAGCTTCGACTTCGCTTCTGCTCAATAAGATTTTGTTCCTAATCAGAGCGATCAGAGCTCGTATGATGGACCAACGCCTTGTCATACTGTTCAACGCCGTATCGGCGGTTTGTATGCAGATTGAGAGACCATATCCCATGTCCGTGTACCTACCCCCAACCACTCCGGAAATAGGGGAAATATATCCATGTCATACGATGTATTAAACGAGCCGTATCATGCAACTTTTATCAAAAAATCATCTGAAATACGGCTTGTCGATATGACGTGGTAAAGTACGCGTATTGATGACGTATGAGACGTGAGAACTCATATTCGAAATATAGGTCACGTGATACGCCTACGATACGCCTGCTATAGGTCATCGATATGCCATCCAAATACCAACTATTACTTTATCATAACTGCATGATATTTGATTACCAGATCTGGCAGGGTTGCACCCGTTTGGTCCCGATCGGTGGGATCGGATCGATCAGATAGCACATTGTCACTACGAGATAAGATTAGATGTACAACATCGACCTCGTTCCGTCATCGCGTCAAGGACATCGACCAGCCACCCCGACCCGCCATCTCTACAATCTCTAGACGTGTTGTTGTCCGTTGACCGGCTTCCTGGAACTCCGGCTCTGCCACGACCTCGCCCAGCTGTCTCGATCGAAGAGCAAACACTCGAATCAGCATGAGTAGCCGTACTCCGGGCAGTACTTCGAGGACGCCTTACCGTCCCGAGCGACCATCCCCACTCGCTGAATCTTCAACCGATGACACCGATGGTTATGATGCCGATACCTCCCCTGAAGACCGAAACGTAGCGAGCAGTAGCAATAGGATGCCGACAGACAAAGTAATCAGCACGGGTAATAGGTTGAGGCATGTGACGGCGGGTGGAAACAGCGATCAGGATCGATGTACGTACCAAAGGCCTATCGAGCCGATCGCCAGGACTTGTTTTGATGGAGGACTATGGATCGCACTGTAGATCGAAATCTATCACCATTGGACCAGAGGCGAAGGGTCGGTATAGCGAATACTTCCACGACGCACTCACATGAAGATGGCCCCTTCACACCCTCGAACCAAACTACCCCTACTCCAGCTGGACGTCGAGAACAGCAGCCAGTCAACCTCCTTTCGTCTATGACACCGGGTATCACGAACGGTCAGCGCCAACGGATGGAAGCACAACAACGACAAGAAGAGAATTCGGGACTTGCCATGCTGCAGAACGCCTTCATTCAATTGCAAAGTCGGGTCGCAGTTTTGGAGAGCGACTGCTCGCAGTATCGGAAAAGGATTCAGTCGCTGGAGCAGGAGAAAGCAGAGAGGGATCAGCGAATTGCCGCCGGAGAGAGAAGTGACGATGAGCTCACGGCGGAGAAGCGTGGGGTGGCAAGGATGGTCAAGAACGCAGTGAAGGTGCTGTACGGGGAAACAAAGGTCACTGTCAGCCATACGGGAGACGACAACGAAGATGATGACGACGAGGATGCAGACGATGGGGAGATGAGATGGAATTACCTGGAGTCCAGCACGAGCAAGCATAATCACAAACAGAACCAGAAGGTTATCAGCCTCCTCCAGAATCAACGCGAGTCCATCCCCATGCCTGCCGACATACCGAGAAACACCGTCCCGCTTTACACGGATGCCTTGGATCTGTTTCATGACGCGATTCAACAGGTATGTTGTCTTTGTCTGGCCGGAAGAGCGAGCACGCAAAGCTGACATCAGAGCCTGCAGCACTTCCGTCAGAACCAAGCGGCTTACAAGAAGATTGCTATCAAGGAATGGGGGACCGAAGGTGGCCCCCGCGAGCAACTGCTCGCCGAGATCGAGAGACAGAAGGCTGAAATCGAGGCCGGAGGAGGGGATGATGATCAGCTAGCCATCCTGAATGACACTCTGAAGAAGAACGATGCCGCATTCGCCAAGCAGAGCAAAGACAAGCCGAACGTCAGATCGAAACTCACTGCTGCCGTTGAACGCATGGAGGCTCGACGTGCCAAGACCAGCTATCGTGCTGATGAATACGAAGGCCTAGAGTCAGTTTACTGGATCCCGCCGCCGTACGCTGAGATTGTAGATGGGGAGTACAAGTGGTACCATTCCGACTGGGAAGGGACGTACTCGCAACAGGTCAGTCCCGGTGTGGTGACCATAATACTCTCCTCCTGTCGTACTCACATCCTTGAATCATTTCAGTTCATTGATATGCACAAACTGGTCTGGGATGTGAAGTTGCTCCCTCAAGGTCGTCGCAAGCCGACCGCCAACGGTCCAGTCATCGACCCGTCTCCTCCCGGACCCCGTCGCAAGGTTCAGCTTTACTTGCCGTCCTCCGCTCCCTGGCTCCATGAATGTCCGCAACGCTGGCAGTTCCGACCAGAATGGCTGGCCGATGAAGCGAACGCCGACATCGTGGAGAGCCGAATCGTGCCGGTAGATCAGCCGACCTCCTATGCCGATGTTCAGCGTCTGGAGTGGTACTTGCAGCATCCGTGGAAGACTTTGAAGGGGAAAGGAGCGAAAGGGAAAGGGAAAAAGGCGGCGACCGAAAAGGCGGCGAACAACAAGCGAGCGAGATCCGAGTCGACTCAAGCCGCGACGACTGATAGCGAAGCGCCGAGTGGTCAGGCCGTCGCATCCGCCAGCTCGTCCTCTTCCGCCTTGATCAATCGCGGACGATCAGCGCAGCCAGCAAACAAGACGATCAAGAAGGCCAAATTTACTCACGATCCTTCGGCCAATGAGGGAAGGGAGGATTCTGAGCCGATCGACAGCGGCATGTCGTCCCCCTTCGAGCAGATGTCTCAATTCAGGCCGGACCAGTCGAGTACCGACAGGATGATGATGGGGATGAATAGCCAGATGATGGGAACGAACAATCCGATGATGGGAGGAGGTGCTGGAGGGATGGATAGTCAGCCAACCGCTCGGCTCAGTGACATCCAAGGTGGACCGATGCAGTTTACCGGCAACCAACCGATGTTCTCCGGGATGCAACCTATGTCCGGCAACGTCTTCGGTGGAGGTGGATTTGACCATCAGTTCATGATGCAGCAGATGGGATACGTCCCGCAAGCTCGCCAACCCGGTCACTCACAACAACAACAACAACAATACAATGCGATGTACGGGCAACAGCAGCCGCCGAGCCAGCAGCAAAACTTCAGCATGAACCAGAACGGCGGGTATCTCAGCGGACAGCAGCGTACAGGAAATTGACGAGATCGGCTTACGAAAACCAGGGAACCAGCCCTGCACGACTAGAATGTTCACGATCGTATCTTTTTTTGGGTTAAAGCGATGTTGCTGTTGTAGCAGTAATTAGCGTTGTCATGTCTCAGCCGCCATCAAGCGGCCTCATCTAGCGATCAAATGTCTATGTGCAGCATCAGTACTCACAGGTGGCACGTCAATCGTCATAGTCCGTCTCTCCCTCAGCATCCTCGTCATCATCCGGCATGCCCAAAGCGTCCGTTTGTGGGTCATCCGAACCCAGCCAGAATTCAGGCTCCGGTCCCTCTCGGTCGCACGACATAGCTACCATGTAGTCCAGGCCTTCCATCTTGAAGCGAGAGGTGACCACCGATGCCTGCAGTGTAGAGATGGGGATGTAGCGCGTATGTAGCAAGGGCTCGCCAGAGATGTCCGTCATCTGGTATAGCCGGTAGCCCAGGTCGATGTTCCGGTAAGACCATGGCACTGGTCGCTCCGCCCGATCAAACGTATCAACCAATGCCAGTTCCAGGTCGATCGAGGGCTTGCCTTGTACGACCAGGGTTCCATGCAGGAACAGCCGGATCCGCACAACCTCTCGTGATCCGTCTTCCTTGTATGCAGCCAGTGCGTATTGATCCCTGACGGTACGGTTGTAAAGGGCCGAACAGAATCTATGCCACGCGCAAAAGTCCCGTGCGTGAGCGACTTTCCAACTTGACAGGCCAGTCGAATCCAATCCACTCACTTGAAACCCTGATACACGACATGCGAATAGAGTGAATATCGCTCCGAGGTTGCCGGGAGGCATGGGCGGGGATCATGCGCATTCAGTCGTCCCACGAAATTGTACTCCGGAAAGGTTTCTTGAACAAATGTGAGAAGGGAGCTGTATGCCAGAGGGTACTTCCGTAGATCGACGGGTGACACCTTGAGAGGTTTCGGTAGACGAGCCGTTGCTAAAGCACGGAAAGCTTCGGCGAGCATGACCGTTCCTTTGAGGGCCTCCTTGTCAGCCAACAGCATCATTATTGCGGCTTTCTCGGTGGGCGACGCATTGCGAGCAGGGTTGTTCAAGAGGGCAGCTAGCCGTCCATCCCGTACCCACGCCCGCATGAGCGTCATGGGAATATCCCGCTCTTTCATGTTGTGCTTGACCTGGATGGACCAGCAAATGGACCGACGGATGACCAGAGATTTTTACGTCACAGAATCAGTGCATAACTCTTGCGCCACTCGCCGCGAAGAACAGGATAGACTGACCTTTGAAAGCGTTCCATTGTTACGTTCGTAAGCCCAGGCCGAGTACCCCGCGATTGGGCCGAACAGTTTCACATGCCTGTCGTGCCAGACAAGTCAGCACCATTTTCAATGACAGCTCCGGCGACACTAACTGTGGGTAATGCATAGCGATGTGCCAATTGATCGTAAGACTGGCACCCAACGATATCATGGTGCAAGCTGCGTTTGCGATGTCATCGGTGGCACTTTCCGCGTCCCGCAAAGAAATGGAGTGCGTGTCCAGAGTTCGCACGCCTGTAGTCAGAGAGACGGCCGCCTGGAACCACAGCTTGCGGTTGCGCCTGAACGGCATAGCCGCCTCTCGGGATCGTCTTGGCTTTTTGCGTGGCTTACGACCCCCTGCCCCCGGTCCAGGCGTTCCTCGCGTTGGCTCCGGTACGGGCGTTCCTCGAATACTTGCGACATCATCCTCCTCCATTGCCTCGAGTCCCTCGTCTAAATCCACGTCGTCGATTTCCCAGGTCCCTTCTTTGCGCCAACTCAGTGCAAGGGCATGTACGAGCATGTCCCCGATGCGCTTCCATTGATCGCCTTTCAAACCCGCAGCTTTGCCTCCCAGCATTTGCTTGGTGACCCTGTTCGGTAACCTGCCCAAGTGACCCGGATACTGCGCGTTGTGAAAGACACCTGCGAATACAGCCAGGCGGGACTTTCCGTCAATCTCTCCTTCGAACAGCTCGTTCTCGACGATGATATTGACGAAGGACTTTATGAGACCTAAGTAGAGGTTGTGAAGGTGATCTACAGGGGCTGTTGCGCTATGCTCCATCCCGATCAACTTGTTCAGAATCGAGAAACGGACGCCGGACTCCATTTCGATCGCCTTCGCCTCGATTGACCGAGTCGTATCTTCGTGTCTGAAGGCGTCCGATAGTAGACCTCCAGGACTGGACCGCTTCGCTGGCAACTCTCGCCACTTGTAAGATTCGGGACTGCTAAGGTCTGCTGCCTGGATCCCGCAATGATGACACGGATGTATGCCGTGTGCATGACTGACCGCGCCGATGATTTTTTTGGTCGCCGGCAGGTCTGCCGCAGTGAGTAGAAGGCGAGCAGCTACGTTTTCGTAACCACCGTCATTCTCGGTCTTAACCCAGATACCCTGCTCGCATTTCTGGAAGTCCTCCACGACTGGCTCAAGGATTCGATTGAGATACGTAAGCGAAGGTTCCTCAGGCCCCGGGATGACGCATAGCAAGGCGGTATACTTCTTCTTGAACATCATCGATCTTGGAAGGTTGGCGACTGAAGCGAACACTGCACCGACTGAGTACCCTGGCATATTCTTGACGCGGAACCAGTCGCAGCCTATCACGATTTGTAGGCCGTGCTTGAGGTTGACAAACCGGTAGACGTGCTCATGCGTGTGATCCGGAAGCGGCTCATCAACTACTTCGTAGTCGTCTGCGTACACATTCCGTTCGACTCCTCCTTTGCTCGCTCGCCAGGCAGACCCATCGGTAAGACCATGCAACCGATCGTCAGGATGGAAGTAAGGCTCGTTGATGTCGGTGGGCGGTCTTTCGCCACTGTCGTCCTCATGACCCCTCCAGTGCTGAATCGAGCTGTAGAAGTCGGGGTCTTGCATCCAGAGGGCTATCCAAGTCGACAAAGGGGTATAGGGAACGACGCGAATTGGGGTCCGGAGGCCATTCAACTCCGAGAAGATGTCGGCGTCACAGAATCGGTCGTCTCCAAGGGGGGCGCCGCATGTAGAGGATGGAACGGTATGTAACTTGTCGTAGGAAGTCAACCACCAACAGGAGGGGCAACAGATGTAGCGTTTGATGTAGTTGTCGCTGAGAACACCGAGGCGTGACATAGCTGTTCGCCAGTTTCCGGTCCGATCCCCATCCCCCAATCCTTCGATGATATGTCGTGCTTCGTGCAGCGAATCGTTCCCCGACTGTGACATGTCGTCGTGCATCTCCTCTTCAACAGACTCCACGGCTAACTGTGCGGTAACAGCAAGCTGTTCAAGCATTTTATCCGCGTGACGGTCGGACATCCCTGTCAACTTTGCAAACGCGATGGCAGTATAAGCGTTCCGAACGGCGGGGTGCAATTCGTGGTGTTTGTTCAGATCTGCAATATCCACGTAAGGCCGTCCGTCAGGTCCCACTTCCATGTTGTGGTCGTGTTCCTCTGCGTAATCGAGAATGTCATCCTCCGACTCCTCGTCCCATCTATCCTGTTCAACATCGTCCCGCAGAATCGTGCTCGCCTCGCTCCCATCTCGATAATCGTCGAAGCCTCCGTCGTATCCGCCTTGGGCGTCCGAAAAGTCGTCGAAGTTGTCAGGAGGTAACGCTGATATGCTTCGAACCGTCTCTTGCGAGGCCGCTCGCAAGGCCTGTCCTGGTGCAAGCTCTACTCCTCTCTGATTCTCTGTTCCGTTGTGCCGTCTCCAGGAGGTGTAGGACAGCATACGGAAGCCAGCTGGCCACAAGCGACACTTGACGCATTCACATGCCCGTTCAGGCCTCATTGTAGCGGTGACAGCCTGTCGAGTCCAGCAGACCGCCGCCGGTACTGGAGCGGGCGGACGGTGCGTCGATGTCTATCGTTATTGTCCGGTTGTCCTCTGCTAGAAGAGTGGAGGAGGCAGAGGATAGGATATATCGCTCTGCTATGCGAGTGTTAAGATGGGGCATGGTAGATACTATAGTCACTGAACACCAAGGGTATACAGGTGCAACGAACAACCTATAGCGGCAACGGTCAAAACTTGCTAAGTCGCAGAAGTCGAGAGGTTACCCCTATACCCCACGTAGTGATCGAAGTGACGTAGTGACGTTCAACTCCGGCTATATTCTGGGTATACGCCTGACATACGCAGGCACAAGCGGACATAATACAATCGTATGTCCGCTTCAAGCATATCGTACAAATATACTACTCCGTATAGACCCTCAAAATGATACGTGTATTAGATCTGTATGATATGCCAAATATGATACAACTTTCAGTCCGGCGATATTTCAGCTTTTCGCGCAGTGCCCCAACCCTCCTCGGACGATTTCCAGCTGAAACGACTTCGTGCCTCAAAAGGTCCTCCGGCTCTCGGTGTATATCTGGTCGACACCGGTCCGCGCACTAGCGTCGTTTCTTCTCATTAGCGCGCATGGTTGGGGCTCGACATACGGACGTCGTTGAGCCGTAAAAGACTTGAGATCGTCCTGTGATTGTGTCTCTGGGACACCGAGGGACCCCGGTATATTATATATATCGAAGGGTCAAGATGCGGTATCAAGCTATCCCCCATGATGATCCCCCGCTGGCCCCGCAAATCTCTCCAGCAAGCGATATAACCATCATGGACAAGATCGGCCAATACAACGTCGTGCACCGCTTGCAAAAGCGCTCCTTGCTCGTAGCTATCAATTGCGTAGCAGCGCTCAGTATCTTCTTTTTCGGTTATGACCAGTAAGTCATAGTCTCGTCAATTGTCCGCCAGGTAAGAACCGCATCCCGACACAACGCGACACACAACGTTTCATCCGCAGGGGGATGATGGGCGGAGTAAACAACGCGCCCCATTACATCAACACCATGAAGATCGGCTACGTAACCACGATCAACGGTTCAAAAAACACCCCTGTGATAACCGACTCGCTCTTACAAGGTGGGATCGTCAGCGTCTACTACCTCGGCACGCTCGTCGGGGCCCTCTTGGGTGGGTTGGTAGCGGAAAAGTATGGGAGGATCAAGACGGTCGCTTTCGGAGCAGCGTGGGCGGTCTTCGGAGCGGCTTTACAGTGTACGGCTCAGAATCATAATTGGATGATCTGCGGTGAGCCAAGAACATCTATCATCAGTCCCAACGCAACGATATCGAGAGACGATACTAAAGCATACTCTTGTATGGACTTGCAGCCCGTCTTATCAATGGCGTGGGGACCGGCCAACTGAACGCGGTCGTCCCCGTCTGGGCGACCGAGACGGCCGAACACACCTCTCGAGGTCAATTCATCGCCATCGAGTTTACGTATGTCGCTTAGGTCCAGCCGGGCTACCGTAAGCGATCACCTCTGATACGTTCCTCTTCACACTCGTATCGTACAGCTTGAACATCTTCGGCGTGGTAGTCGCTTACTGGCTCGAATAGTGAGCCCACGACATCATCACACCACCCCGACCCCGCGCTCAAAAAAAGACTCACTCTCATATTCGTACCAACAGCGGCCTCTCCTTTATCGACGGCGGTCTCTCCCCCTGGCGCTGGAGGTTCCCCGTCGCCTTCCAGATCCTCCCCCTTCTCATCTTGCTCGGGTCCGTCTTCTTCTTCCCCGAATCCCCACGATGGCTCGTCAAACAAGGCCGCCACGAAGAAGCTCGTTACATCCTCGGTCGACTCCGAGGGAACACCGAGGAGAGCGACATCGTGAGGGCCGAAGCCGAGTTCAAGGAGATCCAGGGTGTGGCAGAACTGGAGTTATCCAACGCTATGCCGACGAATTATTGGTCCATGCTGGTCGGGAGTGGGAATAACGATTTGCATATCGCCAGGAGGGTACAGTTGGTCATCTGGTTACAGATCTTGCAGGAATGGGTCGGGATCGCGGGTGTCACCATCTGTGAGTATAGTATACCCTCTGGTCGGGTTTCGCAGCCAATATGCTGAATCCGACCTTATGCATGAATCGCCCGGTTCTCGATATTGTAGACGCTCCTACAATCTTCAGGCTCGCGGGATTTAGCACGGAAAAGTCACAATGGTTCTCCGGGGTCAACAATATCAGTGAGCACCCAACTTCAACTCCTTATCTATGACTTTCACTCTGGCCATCTGACACCAAACTAACCCCCTCCTACCGTGCTCCTTGCGCAGTCTACATGTTCGCCACCCTCATCTGCGTATTCACCCTCGACCGTATCGGCCGCCGGATGACCCTCTTCTGGGGCTCGATCGTGCAAGGCATCGTCCTCTTCCTCGCCGGCGGTTTCTCCCGCCTAGGCCTGAACGCTACTGAGTCGGGCAACACCTCCGCCGCAGGGTCATACGGGATCGTCGCGGCTTCGATGATAGTAATCTTCACCGCTACCTTCGGAGCGACCTGGTTGACCGTCCCCTGGTTGTACCCAGCTGAGATCTTCCCGTTGGCCGTGAGGGCGAGGGGGAACGCTTTAGGGGTCGTAGGGTGGTCCATCGGGAACGGCTGGCTCGTAAGTTTCAGTTTCGATTTCGAGTCTTGATGCCTTCGCGTATCTTGATCGTGCTCAATCTTTGCTCTTGGTTATTTGTAGACCTTGCTACTCCCGGTATGTTTCGAAAAGATAGGAGAAAAGACGTATTACCTCTTCGGCAAGTCTTTCCCCCCACCTAGAACGATCGAGGCGCACTCGTGTTCTGACGATTTATCATCTCACCCCCCTCTTTTGAAAACTTTGATCTCTGCGGACCGCCACAGGCATCGCCAACGCCATCAGCATCCCCATCGTCTGGGCCTTCTACCCCGAATCGAATCAACGCACGTTGGAAGAGATGGACCTGCTGTTCGCCTCGTCCAGTCCCTTTACCTGGGTTGCCGAAAAGAATTTCGCTCGGTACAAGGACGAGCGGGATAGGTTGGTCGCTGGTGCGGCCGAAAGGAACGTGGACGACACGCCGGGCAAGGTCGGGGCGAGTAAGGTGGAGGATGCTCATTTCGAAGAGCGAGTTTGAGGTGTACACTTGTCGAAGCTACATCGCATTGCACACTGTACGAACAAGATTTGTTTCGAGGATGTGTACTCGGTTTCACAAGATCCTATACACTCTATCGACACGTTTCAACGTCGCGCGCCCCCTTTTTGCTGCATCTCATCCACGAAAAGAAGGTCGCGCGGAGACGATGTGGTGATAGGAAATCAACGCTGCTCAGCTGGTTAACAAGAAAAACCCCTACATCAAGTCTCCACGATCTCTACGTCACACCAGATCGAGAATCGTATCTTGACGTCGTGAGTAGTCGACGCACGTATGTTCGGGCAGTTTCGGCCGAGATACAGGGCCTCGTTGCCAAGTAGAAGCGCAGATTTTACCCAACTTACCCGCGCTTAAGGGTGACCTCTCGATGTCGTTGGCTAGGGAGAGATGACGATGTCAAGAGAAGTCGAAATAGACAGAAACACAGAGGGTGGTCGTTGTCCCTACGACCAACGCATATCGTCATAGCTGTCTGCATTCATCATGTCCTCCTCTTCTTCTTCCCCCGAGATTGACTACCTCAAAACGCTGGTCTCCCAGGTGAATAAACGCGCTCAACAAACCTCATACACTGCGCCTCTCACAAAGTCTCACTCCAACTTTATTTCCGTTCACTACCCGCACCTTTGATAAATGATAACTCCAGCTCAACGAGAAGATCACCCATCTCGAACAATCCGCCAGTCAGCAGATCCAGCAACACATCGTCCAGCCCGCCAGGGACGCTCTGGGCGCTGCCAAGCAGGCCGTCGGGGAGAAGGATGCTACCGAGGGCAAGAGGTTGATCTTGATCGGTGAGCTCGGGGCGACGAGGCTCGATATCCCATTCTTTCATGCTCTACTGAGAGCTCACGACTGCTCTATTACTCGGTTTTTCATTTTAGGACCTCCCGGTGCCGGTAAGCGTCGATTTCATCGGCTACCTTTACTACACTTTTCGAATACTCGCTTACCTGTCCACTTTCACCTCCACCTTCACCCCCCGTTCACCTCCACCTCACATCCCCACCTCCTCGCTCGCCAAACCCCCAAAACAGGCAAAGGAACCCAAGCCCCCAACCTCCAAAAAAAGTACTGCGTCTGCCACCTCGCAACCGGTGACATGCTCCGATCACAAGTCGCCGCCCAGACCCAGCTGGGTAAGGAGGCTAAAAAGATTATGGATGCCGGCGGGTTGGTCAGTGATGAGATCATGATCGGCATGATTCGGGATCAGTTGAAGACGAATGCCGAGTGTAAGAATGGGTGAGTCTTTCTTTGAAGTTCGAATTGCGGGTGTTTAAAGGGCGTGGGGGATGACAAGTTGAAGTTGAGCGCGGTGGCGGGGTGATGTTGATCGGCTCAGAGGTTCCGCACGGGCTGTGTCATGATGATCGTTCCTCGCTGACTCGCTTGGTGTCTCGATCTTCGTTGTTATGTTCATCTTCTCTCGATTTCAATCTCGACCTTGAAACTCGCCGACCGACCTATCACTGTATTCTACCACCCAAACACCATTCACCACATCCACCTCCACCTCCCCTCTCCCTCACCCCCATCACCCCTGCAGTTTCATCCTAGACGGTTTCCCCCGGACCGTCGTCCAAGCCGAAAAGCTCGACCACATGCTCTCCGCCGACAACCAAAAGCTGGACAAGGCGCTCGAGTTGAAGGTCCCCGACGGCTTGTTGATCTCGAGGATCACTGGACGGTTGATCCACCCGGGTAGTGGGAGGAGTTATCATCGGGAATGTGAGTGTCTTTGCGGCGAGAGGGTGTCTGGGGGTTGTGATCTAAGATGACAAGCAGGCGGATTCCTATACGGTGCTGATTCGACCCGACCTGCGACTCCAACCTTGGATTCTCGCTCACAGTCAACCCGCCCAAGAAGGACATGACCGACGACCTGACCGGCGAGCCCCTCATCCAGCGATCAGACGACAACGTCGAGACGCTTCGAAAGAGGTTGACCACTTACCACCAGGTACGTCCGCCTCCTCCCCCCTCATCCCAGTCGTACTTTATCATCTCGCTGACCTTTCATTCGTATCGCTGTTTCCCCGGCGTTTTCGTAGCAAACCGGCCCCGTCGTAGATTACTACCGCAAGACCGGCATCTGGGCTGGGATCGATGCCGCCCAGTCCCCCGCGCTGGTGATGAAGTCCATCTCGGCCATGTTGGACGGCAAAAAGTGAAAAGTAGACGAAGCATTCGAAGAAGAAGAGAAGCGAGAAGGAAAAAAGAAAAGGTTGTAGCGACTTAGGCGGGGTCGGACGGGACAGGGAATTTAGATGAAAATTCGGAACATGAACTGGAATTGCAGAATGCGCGAGTCTGACAGTCTGGATGTGGCCCTTCGAGTTGGGACTACTCACCGCCTGGCCTGTCCGATAAGCTTGATGAGCGATCGGTGCGATACCACGACCGCACACTGGTTGATTAAAATTCGACATCGGAGCTGATGAGGTCGGCACAGGCTTCTGTCAGATCGTCAATAATGATACAAGCTGATATCTGATTTTCTGGTCGAGCGTTCAAAGACACCACGAATGGAGCCTTATACTGGGCGCACCGTAGTGGAGATCGGAAATCCAAAGGTTCCGGCGATAAAGAGGCGTTTCATATCGGTAACAGCGGCTGCCATCTCGATCTGCCTCGACAGAGCTCGACACAAAGTCCGCGGTATTTACTGGAAATTCTGGAAATCGATACAGTATGAATTCCGGATCCTGAGACCTGGACGTGCGGCGCATCTCTTGGTCGTACTGTTACAGCAGTGAGCTCTCGACCTCTGGTACCTTTTCCATGGATCTTGTCTTGGTCGCTTCTGTCGAACACGTCATCGTCCCTCGATCCCTCGCGAATGCTGCGACCACGCCGTGGCCGAGTGACAGCGCAGACGCGCAGGAATTAAAGGAAAGAGTGAACGACGATGTCTAATAAGGCGCCGCAATCAGCGGATTGACGGAGATCATCACATTTCACACCTTCTATTCATGACGTCAGCGCTAGAAGGTGGCTTGAATAGGAGAAGCAAGGGGGGAAGAGGCGCCGAGACCGATGATCCACCTTGAAACACGGCTCATCAAAGGAAGGGGGTTAGGGTCCTTTGGCAGGATTGTCCTTCCGGATCCCTACGTGACCATCAGTGCCGACATTCTCGATAATTACGATACATCTTATATGCCTTTGCCACTATCAACAATTCAAATGCATTCCGCCCAAGCTATACTACTACTACCATCGATCAACTATTCAGCACCTCGAATCTCGCATCGGAGACACAATAACATGCTCGACTGGAACGCCACCTCCCGCGCGCTCACCGCCCAACTGGCCAACCCGGCGGACGTATTCACCCTCCTCTTCCTCGTCGGCGGGGACGTCGTACAAACAGCCCTCGCCCAGAACGCAGGCTTCCGGACAATCGAATTACCACTCTGGCCCACAAGCACCAAAACCAATCACGAATCAAAGTGTACGTCGGTTGGGAACAACATCAGACCGCCGAAGTGGAAATACTCGGTCCGGTTCTCACCCGTCGGATGGGGGTTCACACCCGTGGTCTTTTCGTTCGGGTGGGTGTCTTATGCGTTCACCACCTTGAAGACCGCAGCCGGGGGAGAGACCCTCATGCCGGTGTCTACGGCGCAGAACGCGGTAGTGATGGAAGGAAAATCGGGACATACCCGGTCGAACACTTCTTGGGTCATCGGCAGGCTTTGGAGGGATTATCCTGTTTGGAGGGATAGACGGGTGGATGGGCTGTTAGCGGACTTGAAGAGGGACAAAGGGAGGTGTTCTTGGGAACAGGCCGGGTTGATCGTAGGGGTTTACAAGGCAAAGAAGTTGAAAGAGAGCAGACCGGTCTCGGTAAAAGGAACCGGGTGGGTGTTAGGACTGTTCGTCACCCTGTTACAGCTCATCCTCGCTGTCATCCCGGTATCGACACAAGGAGAATGGGGTACGTTACTAGTCACGATCACGGGCACGCTCTTAGCCTGGTGGACGGCCAGTCTCCCTCAATGGCAAGAAGAAAAGTTCCGAGCGAGAACGGTCCGGAGGAATAGGGATGGCAGTCTACCCAGCGTGGTTATCACCCCAGGTAACGGATCACAACACGCCATCCTCGTCATCCTCGAAGAAGGGTCCGTGAACTTGGAAGACCTCGCTACGGGGCAAAACGGCTATCGACCCAGGGTCATCCAGGGCGTACCTCTGATCCTCTTGACAGCCGCTTGGGTGGTCTTGTTGCTCGTAGCCATAGGCATCCCGAGCAACAGATGGTACCTCATAGGAATCGGAGCCATCGGTATGTTGCAAAACACCTGGGTAGCCAGTTCTCCACGACGTCCCGCCGAAGTCGGACTTCCGCTGGAATTCGTCGAGGTGGTCGGGAGCGCCGATGTGGCTTGTGCCCTTGCGCAATTAGAAAGAACGGACGAGGGGAGAGGAGTAGGGAAACAGCTCGTACAGATTTTCTTCCCCGGTGGACTGGAGACGGGCCACGAGGACCTTTTTGGAGCGCCCGGGGTCGTCAAGGATTTGAGTAGTAGGCAGTGGTGTAGATGCCAGGCTGATGATCAGCGCGCGGGGAGAATGCAAAAGGATATCGGTTCTGGCACTTCTTGCTGGGATACCACGTTGATTGAACGTCGAGTCAAGGTTTAACTGTTAGCTGTTCATATGTCGCTGGATGTACTCGGCGAGTCTTGCGTCCGTTATCCTGCCAGGCTGAGAGAAATACATCGAACCGGGATTAGCCATGTCCACCCTATACTTCGATGTGTTGATCAAACATATGGACATGTTATTGGATCTCGTCTGATAGGTCTTTTCGATCATGGCAAGGTTTTAGGTGCGGAGAGGTCTAGTGGATTGGGATCGATCGAACAGTTGGAAGTTGACGATCTGTTTTGTTTGTCTCGGCTCCGAAACGCGCTTAACGATCCGGGTCGCTCGTGTGACCTAGCTCGCCAGCCCGGAATGTCAATAACTGAACAACAACATTGACGACACCGTACCATTCCATTTCCTGTCTTATCTGCCAGGGCAAACACCCACCTGAAAGCGATACACCGCCTCATAACCTTTTCATAATCCTCTGCGTACCGGCTCGATCAACACGACGATTCCCGATTGCCTTGCCGCCAAGCTTGCTGCGCAATCGCTGCGGACGAACACTTTGAGCTATCACGATCAGACTTGAGCCTGGTGAATCATCCACACCGATCATATCATCGCGATACATCAGTAGTACTACTCGCACTAGTCGATCACATCGTCCAGCTCATCTACCTCGCAAGATGAGCGGCAAGTCTCAGTCAATCGGCTCTTCTACGGCCACCATCGATCCGGACGACAGCATATCCGATCCAGGCCGCAACAAACCTCTCCCTCTATTCGATTACTTCGATCTTCACGCTGACACCCTGACCGAAGCCGAAATCTACAAACGAACCCAGCAATCCCAGCAATATGCTTACCCCGAACTCTTACAACAAGCTCTCAGCTCTCATCCTGCCGAAAGGGACGGGCTTTACATCAGTCGGATCGTCAGGTACCGAAGCGCTCAAGAAGAGTTTAACGCCCACGAATATATCATCTGCACCGTTATTACCGACCGGATCACTGCATCGCGATCTCGAAAAAGGACCGCCCAGGCTCAGACCCAAGCAGAGCTGGAATCCGATACAGCGGTGGGCGAGAACAAAGTCCGACAAGCTAACGAGTTCTACATGCGGATCGAGCGGGGGTCTCATGTCAGGACCGGGAAGACGGTGGATGTGATCACAGCCAGTCCCGGTGGTATAGCGGATTTGATGAAGGTAAGGAGCCTTCCCCTTACCATTATCTTCGAACCATTCTCGATACTGATGATGATCCTGATCATCGTCATCTCTGTCGCGCATACGATTCAGAACGATATCGTCCTCAGCGAGCTTCGGTTTGCCACCCCCTTGGACTTCACGCTCGGCCAGTTCGTCGACTTGGTCACCGACGTCTGCCGAGCTTCCCGTCTCTCCAACCGGAACACCCCTACACCCAAATCGAAATCGAAATCGAACTCCAGCTCGCAGCCCAGACCCCCTTCCAACTCCTGGATCGTGGCTCGGGCGATCTTTCACGTTTGTTACGCCACCTTCCCAGACAATCAACTTTACGTTCATCATCGTCTTTACAACCATGACCCCGTATCCCTCTTCAGGGGAAGTGTTGATGAGCTTCGTCGACTTCTGCTCGATCTGGACAAAGAGAAGAAAAAGCATAAGAGGACCTGGTCCTTGAATACGATCTTGAGGGGGATGGGGGATGATCCTGTAGGGGAGTTCGATGCGATGGTCAAAGCGGCGATCGACAAACCGAAGGGTCAAATTCTGGGGACACTGTGAGTCCACGAGACTTCTTTGATCAGACTGTCCGAGGTCTGTGGTCTAAGTTCGCTCACTGAGATGTCTCCCTTTCATCTGGTTGGCAACTGCGACAGTTCCAGTCTCCCATCCGAGCTGAACCTTCACAGTCGCAATTCCTCCCAAAATTATGGGAACCGATTCGATTTTCATCCTTACGATCTTGACCAATTGCGGATCGCCGAAGAAAAGCAGAGGGCGATCCAGTTCCATCAGTAAGTGGGACGGTCTCATCTTCCTTATGGGCCACATTTGGCGGCAAGCCATTGCGACGGGCAATCACGTATGTCTTTGATGCTGACTCTCCTCTCCCCATGGTTCTATGTTGACAGATTCCTTCGTGGTTCTTCGAGTGTGAACAACGAAGATCACGGTGGCGAACACGAGCACAGTGAGACCGACGACGATAGTCATCACACCCGGCACAGCTCCGACAGCTCCATCGAAGAAACCAAACTCGTCTATCAGGACGCTCGAGCCATGTTGGACGACCTCGACCTCTTCCCGGAAGAGCGAGATCAATTGACTGTAACCGGTCTCTCTTGGTACCACCACATGACTCGCGAGGAAGATAAGGAATATCTCTTGGCTCATATCCGGCAAGAATGTCCTTCGGATGAGTTCAAGCTTAGGATCGAGAGGGAAACGGAAGGGCCAGGAGAGCATTATGTGGTCACGATGTATCGTATCGATGACGATTTTTCGGATACGACGCAGGTGAGCCTTAACCCCTCATGGCGGCTATATTCGAAGAGCGCTCAACGATACCTATGGCTACAATCTCCACAGTATAATCTGGGTGGAGTAGTCATCCCATTCGAATACGTACGCATTGACGACTACCTAGATTTGGTGATGGAGCAAGAAGAACACATTTACGGCGACTATCCCTGGCTCTTCGGCCCGGCGCTTTTCTGCTCGTTCGCCAGTCACGCCGACTGGGTCCACTGTGCTTTCTCTACGAGTCCCGATCCCCGCGACAATGGATTATGCACCATCCTGCCTAAAGATCCGATGAGACTGTTCGAGGCTTTCCATACGTTTGCGGATCTGCACAAGCGTCGCTTTGTCGAGGACGACGAGGACGTCAAGAGGGACTATTCTATGCCTGATGAGGTCATTACCGAAATTCAACGGATCTCTGACACTGTCTTGAAGGTGATCGGGCAGGAACGTTATTGGGTGATGGACGAAAGGCGCCGCTATCGCTTAGGGGTCTCGGACATGTTTGATCCGTTCGTAAAGTCAGTAACATGATGAGATACTCCTCTGCAAGCATATCTGCTGACAAGCGCTGAACACTCGATCGACTATGGTCTTGGCCTGTTAGGTACGCCCAGGATCTCGAGCCTAACGTTGCGCCGTCCGAAGAAAACTACAACGTCTGGATCCAGTGCGGCAAACACAAGAGGATCAAGCGAACTCGACCCGACCTTGAGCCTCGTCTCTCGTGAAAGGGAGATTCTCGATTCTGAAATAGGTGAGTGACCTACCTCCAGACCCTAGTAGATCATCGGGTCCGATCTGCGGGAGTTCATCGATGTCTTGTGTTCATACAGTAGTTATCGCCCATAATTTTCCTGGCACGCAATGGCTTTGGATCTTCCCTTGCGTAGCGGTACGGATGAAATCACAACAGCAAGCTTTCATATTCTCGAACGGAATTCTTCATCTGGATCATCGATGATCCATACCATTGAGCGGCGCCACGATTCACACCAGAAACGGCAAAGTACGCTTTTATATAATATATAGATAACCTCTTTCCTTGTATCCGTCCCTTGTACGTTCCCATACACTCATCAGTAGAGCATCATGATCAACAATAATATACATTTATATCATTCAACCAAAGCGCCGGGAAAGATTAGCCAAATCATTCCCGTTTGATTCCGAGAAGAAGGCCCGAGACATGACCTGAAATATCAAGCTATCCACTGCCGCCACTACTCTATGTCAGTCTGCTGGCGAGTCTCAATGCTACCGTTCTCAAGTATACATGTGCGCTTGAGAAAGAGATGGGCTGTGAAACAGCTCTTCCGTCAATTCCATTATGCCTTACAGGTCCTTTTGACGAGCGAATATGTGTGACATACGATCGACCATACCCACCTGCCATGGTATATTTGACATCGAGATATATTCCACAGCAGCAATGTCACCATTCCGTCTGATCTGAGCATGAACATACCTGTTGCCTTTCTGGTGGCAGCAACCTCCTCAACAATCTGCCTTGTGACAAACTGCTCCTTGAACTGCTCCTGGACAACACCTACCAGTACATCATAAAAATTATGAATGTGTTCCTGCCTGTGTTCCACAACTATGCTTGTCACATCATGAGGATTGGCGACCTGCTCGTCGTGGTGTGGGGTAAGGTTAGCGGCATGTTCGCTGTCGGAATTCGGCGGGCAGGACTGCACGCGTCAGCCGAAGCAGATCGTCCACGCTGTTTTGGCAGGCGATCTCGATCAGGTTAAGGTTTGGCTGCTTTCGGCTACCGCGGTCGAGATGATCGAGGCCTTGTAAAACTCTTGCGTGCTTTGAATGAACGGGAGAGCAAGCGACCTCGCTCAGAACAAGCTCGAGCGAGGTTGTCTCTATGCGATTGCCTGCGTGATCAACAGGGAATGGGAGGGGTCACAAGATGAAAAGGACGCCTTCTTGCCTCTCAAGAGGTGGCTGGAAAGGACGGAGATGCGAACCGCGGCGACGTAACCAGCAGGGTTGCAGAGCATCATCCAGCGTGCGATTAAACATCTGTCGGACGATCATTACTCGACGTAAGCCTTGTGCATAGTCGCCTGACGATTTTCCCGATTCGCTCTTGACTCCTGTTCCTCAAGGGGCGCATATCAGAAAGATTTGGAGGTAAGGACCCTGAAGCGAGATCGCCTTCGCACCCAACAAGCTATCATGTGACTTGCTTGTGAGTCTTTCTGTATCGTATTCAAATCCAGAGACTACTGATCAGCTTGTCACCTGAAGAATCATCTGTGGATTAGAATGAAAACGACTCTCTCAATGAGCATGGCAGTTTTGGGAGCGGCACATGATACCTTGGTGACCTTGACTGTGCCTCCAGGTATGACTGTTTCTTGTGTCAAAACCAGGCTTGACCATACTGACATGACGCCGCTTCTGAAGACTACACACATTCGTATTTGCTTCGTCCCTCAGGATCATCTGTGTCCAGGTTACAACCTCCCTTCCCTGGCGATCCCTTAATCTCCTGCCACAACCTGAAAATGTCGTCATGAAGCTGGGCGGATATGAGATCGATTACATGACCGCTGGTGCCAAAGACATAGGGCCAAGTCAGGAGTTTGTCAACGCGTTCCTTGCCAAGTTGGACCTCAGGGGATATAAGGATGCGTCCGGTACACTTTGTTCACACCAATACCTTCCACAAGGCGGGACGAGCGAAGAACATGCTTGAGTTTCACGTAGGCTATGCCAGTCCAGTGATCTTGCACCAAAACCACAGTCAGGGTGAAGAAGCCTGGCAGGATTGGTAGCGGTATCACGATCGACAGATGTGAAGCCCGCGGACTTGACGGCGGTCCTCAAGCACATTTCGGAGCCGAGACCATGGGCATACGATCAATAACAGCACTCTCTATAGTTGTGTGCATCCTATCCTCTGCGTTGGCTATCCTGTTTTACATCGATAGAAAATTCTGCCTCATCTAAACCTTCCTGACGCTCCCCACGACCTGTCTCAGCCCATCCAGACCCGCTTTCAACCGAGCTCCTTCTTCCCGCCCACGCCTGTACACCTCGTTCTTATTCTCCTCTTTGCTACCTCTGCTACCCGCCTCGCTAGCGTTCGCGTCCGAATCCGTGTCCACGTTGACATCCCACTCGGCCCCGACAGGCGAGGGTTCGTCCTTCCAACCTCCCTGGAGCCATTTCCGACCACGGTCAGGGGTGTTCAAGAGCATGTCTTGGGCGCGAGCCCAGTTGGAGGCGTCACCGTATCCGCAAAAGGAGAGGGCGACGCGCTGTGAGAGCGGAGTGAGATGTGGGGCGAAGCGAGGAACGAATACCGAGGGTTCCAGTCAGCTTAGGCCTTTTAATTATTCGTCGAACTCAAATTCGACTCCATTCCTATGTCGGTCTGCTTCTGGGCTCTGATTTCCGTCTGCAGGGTACTCGACGATCTGCACCGGGCGAGTCACACGATCCTCCCGCCCGAACACACCAAATTCTGGCCCCTTCTCGCTGCCTTCCTCCCCGTCTACCTTGCCAGTCCTCCAGCGACTCCTCTACCCTCGCCCGGCCTCGGACCGATCTGTTCGTGCCTTTCACAAAGACTCTCCGCCTACCCTGAGTCTCCCAATCACTCCCGAATTCATGCTTCCCTAGATCCCATCCACATCCGGTTTCCTTGTAGTTGCACGTCACGTCTTCCTGCCCTCTTCCCATCGCTATTCATATCGTGCTCTTGGACGTTGACCTTGAGACCTGACTGTTCACCCCGCATCTTGTGCGACCGTTAACATCGAACGCGATCGTCCTCGATCCCCTTGTCTTTTAGCCTTGTCCGCAAGACCCGCCTTTGACGTTTGGCTAGCTTTCGAGCGATATCGAGGCTTGACGCTCGCTTGCACGTCCTCATCGTGCCCCCGCGAGCTTTTTTTTCGTCCTTCTGCGTCTTGGTTATTGTCCGGAAATTCCTTATCGAAACTTCGGACTCAACCCAAGACCGATATCCCGCATCTCAGACATCCCCCGATCCTTGCCAGAGTGCCCCGATACCGCGGCTCTTCCAGATACTCCAGGCACCGACCCGCCATACGAAGAACCCAAGACTCCCGAAAGCCCAACGCCAAACAAACCCCTAACCTGATAAAACGTGAACTCACCGGCGGCACAGTCAACCTCCCCAACTTGAAACAATAGACCGACACGCTGAAACAGTTCAACACCCCGCCGTCTTCCCTCGGGGTATCCCGGTTCGCCTCGGAGAGTTTTCGGCGGACGATCTCTTTCTCCAGAGATGTTCTTTCGTCGGTTTCGGAATTTCCGTTCGGTTCAGAGGCGTTGGTGGTGGTGGCGCTGGTGGTTGTAATAGCAGCGGGGCTCTCCGGTGAAGGTCTCGTCCCGCCCGAATTCGATTTCGATCTCTTGTTCTTGTTCTTGCCTTGACCCTTGGGGTAAGTTACGAACTCTCCAACCAGGTAGATCTACATCCCACCACCGGCGTCGTAGAGGAAAAAATGCCCATGGTATAAATCAGCGTCTTTGTCCGACTTTCCCGTTACGTATTTTGCCCCGTGACGTAACGGCCACAATACGACGAGTGACCAAAAGATCCTCCGATGAGGACGCATGGACTCACCCACTTGTCCTCGAACCCGCCGATACTCAGCTGGATCTCATAATCGGCAAACATCGGGATCTCCTTGATATAATGATAATGCGCGGCTAAAACCCCCCAATCAACCCCGGACCAGATTTAGAATCAGCTCCTCCTTTCTTTCCTCTCGCTCCGTCTCTTCCGCCGACAACGACAACGACAACAGGAGCCAAGGACGAAACCCCGACGAGGACTCACCGCCCAAAGCCATCCACCCGCCCGGAGCGAACAACGGCGAGAACAACTCGATACACGCCGACATGCGGGCCGAATCGAGGTTCTTGGCGTATGAAGAGTTGGAGAGGTGGTAGTTGTAGTCGCCTGTTCAGAGTCCGAGTAACAAAGAGGAACAAAGAGGAATTTGATCCGGGATGAGTCAGTCGAGTGAGGTCGAAGTTCGATCAGGTGGAGTGAGGTTCAAGATCGTCAGGTGTCGGGTGTCGTCCCGGGAAAGATCCGAAGCGAGGATATTGAGATAATAAGAGAAATAACACGAGGGATCAGCCAACCCTGGTTCTGCTCTTCTCGTCAGGTTAACAACTCGGCGAACACCACGAGCACCACGAGCACCACCCGCATCGCCAGCCAGCCAAAGCCCTCGCAGCCAGACAAAACAAAACCCGCCGTCGTAGAAGCTAAAAGCAAGTCGGTACTCACAATCATCAAACCCAGCCGAATACCTCCTCGTACTCTTGACCCCCAACGGATGTTCAAACTTGTGTTTCCTCCCCAAATCCAACGCCCGTTGTACTTTCGGTGGCAAGCTTCCGGTATCGACTTCATCTGCAGCTTTCGAGGATATGGACGTGGATGTGGATGTGGATGTAGAGTTGCTGGAAAGCGCACCCGGGAGCCCGATCTGGAGTCTCCGGTAATAGTCCTTCAAGCCGTACCTCCGGGCTTTATAGTGTGCGAGGATGGCTGGGTACCAGACTTTGACTGTTGGGTGTGAGAAGCCACGTATACGAATGTGGGTACGAACGAGAGAACAAAGAGATCACAAGAGGTCAGCGCTTGATGAATTGATGAAGAATGGTGTTAGATGAAAGAGAGAGAGAGAGAGAGATGAGAGGGGACTTGCCGTGCCAGACGAACGGCCATGATTTAGCGTTCAGTACGAAGATCAAGAGGATCAAGAGTTTCACTATTATTATTGATAGAGATATCACATTATTATTATAATCAGCACGGTATTCAACACGCTGAAAGCTCAAGTCCCGCGGGACGGCGTGCGACTCACCCGGTTTAGGTATCCACGGAAAGAGTGATTCTTTACCAGACCACCACCGCGCGGCGATAGTAGCAGACGAAGACATGGCTAGGTCTTCCGTTACTACTGTCGTTGTCGAGAACGTCATGTGTCTGATGTGTGAGTGAGGTGACGATGATCCTGAGATAAGAGGTTGTGATCAGGAGGCTAGGAGGAGGAGGTTGAACCATTTTCCCTCTTGGCAGTCCGATCGGGCGATGGAGAGTAACCGGCAGCCGGCAAAGAGAGAGGGGGGCGACGCGTATACAAACACCTCTAGTACTTGTAGTTGAAACACGCACTCGGCACTCCGACCTCGTGGCCTCGTTTCATATCCGTCGCTCTTCATTAGGTTGTTGATTCAAGCGATCATAAAAAACATGAACTCATGAGATAATAATTGTTATCGATAAAATGATGCCTGTGCGCCGAAGAGCTCGGCGCACAAGGAACAAGACGCTAGCCTTTCTGCCATGATTTATTCGAGAGAACCGATGTCACTGGAGAAAAGAGGAACAGAAGACTCTCGTCCGCTCACAATATGCATTTCGTAAACCGATCCAGTTCAGAAAGGCCGCTATTCACGGCACCACCACCACTACTGTATCCTTCACCAGTTTTCGTTGCACAGCAGACGAACAGGAGCGCATCCCCGCAACCCATTCCCAACACCTTGCCTTGAGAAACTAAATTCAGGATTCCAGATCTTTGCAGCAGCGCCGGGATCGATCGTATCGATCTTCCAAAGAGCTCACAAATCACGCACATTACATTACAGTAACTTGTATGCTCGGGAATCTGTATCCTGATCGTTCCTATAAACATATCGCGTGCTCAGCCGTCTCTACAAAAAACCTGATCACTCCGATACGATCGATCCCCACGCTCACCCCGTCTGCTCAAACTAGGTCGATCTCGCCCGATACATGTATATGTCTGCAGGAGGAACAGAATACCTCCTGATCTCCTGGTCATTTCATGTCCCCTTTCGCATCTGCATGGAATAAGAAGAACAATTGATAAGGACCGGAGATTGTTTGCCGTTTAGACGGTCATCCGCTCTCGAACAACCCTCCGGTCCAACCGACCTCAAGGTCTAGCCTCAACACCCTCACTCTCTCACCCTACAAAACTGATATTGTACGACATCGCAGTATAGTACCGTGCAGTGTAAAGTCCCGTCCGCCCTCTTCGCTTCGCTTCGCTCAGGCTTCCAAACCACCGACCCAATCTTAATCTCGTCCTCTACTGTACGCTCAGTCGAACGGCAAAACGGAACTCCCGTCAATATATTCGGTATCATTGTTGCCGAAGCACACAGTAAGGCAGTTTTTTTGTAGGACGAACATCCTCCTGACCGTATAGGGTGTCGAGGGGATGCAGTAGTATGTACAGTATCAAGGTCGGTCCGGCGTTATACAGTAGCGTCTCGATGCGATTCGCATTTGTGGCTTGTTTATTTGTTATTTATACGGTCACTATAAGGCCTGGCAGCCGACCTGCCGAGCCTTGGGGTAATAAGGTCGCGGGACTGGGGAAAGGTAACTATTAGGCTTGCCTGCAAGCCTGGAATAGTATCACACGGGACTAGAAGGTAAGGGTAAGGTAATGGATGTAATAACGGATGTAGTACAACTAGTACTACATTACAGTAAACACATAGGGGGTGTTCTAGATATACTCCGTACGGGAACTCCCATCGGAGGTCCCTGTAAAACTACCCGACGCGGATGTTTGATACGCGTACCGCGGATACTATAACAGGATCCCCCCCCTAGGCCGAGATTCCAGATCGGCCAGCGCCGGTCGTGTTTCATGTAGGCGCCTTTGTTCTCTCCTTTTGCCCTTCCCACCGGTAAGCGTTCGTCGCTTACACACGTCTACCTGTTTCACAGGGTACCCGAATTTCGGGCCCGATGGGGCGCGTCTCGTTTGTTGTTCCTTTCTTTGTCCTGGCGCGGACATCCGTATGGGCGCATGTCCGACTCATTGTTCGGGAGGTGTAAACAAAGGAGACCGCCGTTGATGTTGACGTCTATACCGCTGTTGTTGTACGATACCCTCTCTCCATATGCCCATATCCATAGCAATAGTATTGTTCTAGTTGCTCTCTTTGCTAGTATCGCAACTCTTCTTTTGTTTGGGCCGCCGTAGCAGCAGGGATGTAGGGTATAAAGGGGTTCGCGTTCGCGTTTGCGAGGTGGGGAGTAAGTCGTAGGTGTCCTTTCGCTACTACTCACTTTCCCTTCCTACGCTATCTATCCCCCATCTACCTTTCTATTCCATTCGACATGCCTCCCACTCCCAAGACTTCCAAGAACCACGGCGATAAGCCGTACTCCCCGTCGACTCCGAAAGGGACGTCGAAGCTCGAGCAGGATCGGGGCAGGGGTTTCGTATACCCCAAGACCAAGTCCGCCGACGAGAGTGAGTGGTATCCGTCTGGGTGGGGTCCGCTGTGGCTAATATGTCGGTCGCTCCTTCAGAGGGGCAGGTTCGGTCCGAAGAACTTGCTCGCGTGGCCTTCTTGGCCGATAGTCCTTCCATCCCTTCCCTCAAGAAGTTGTGGAAGGAGGGAAACGTTGCGGGGTTCGACGGTTTGATGGTATGTATTGTTCTTTTCTTTTATTCTCTCCGGTGGGGTTGTCGTATGCTGATTCCAATCGTGCGTACGTAGGCTCAGTACCGTGGTGGCTGGAAGTGGTGCTGCCTCAACTGTTTCGGTCACGAGGACCGCTTCCACCTCTCCGCCGAAAACTCGGTTCCCGGTTACGTCGAGGATGGGGTCAAAGGGTGGTACAACGTGATGGAGTTCGAAGGCATCTTCTTTTGCCGTCACCCTCTACCGGACGCGGGGAAATCCTCTGGACAGGGGAGTTCCTGCTTCCCTTGCCGGGGAACTAACATCAAGTGCGCCCCTTTGCCGTCCACCTTCATGACGGTTTTCAATCCGGCCTACGGTATCCGCACCCGGTACCAGGCGGCGTGTGAGGTCCTTACGATCCCCAACGTCCCCAATCCGGTTGCTATCGCCGTCGCGGACGAATTTCAGAGGATCATGAAGCTCATGGTAAGCAGTCGCTCCGATTTGAACCCCCGGCGGGGATCTGCCTCGGAGTTAACGTTCGCCTTTCGCGTAGGTTCTTCCCCTTCTCTCGAACAAGACCGATTGTCTTGTAGAGACCCGATGCTATCCCGCCTGGCTCGCTGTCAAGGACCAGTACCGCAAGAGGTACTTCCTGTCGTGGTGCCGAAAGCACCCGTACGTCGCCAACGAGAACGGGACCGTCACCATCCCCGATCGTGACGCGTGGGACGAGGACAAGTCCTACCGGGACTTCCTCTTCGAAGGGCATGGTGAGGATGTTGGAGAACCCCCCGTCGCTGCTGACGGACCGGTCGGCGAGGAGTACGACGCCGACGTCCTCCGCACCCCTACGCCTTCCCCTCCTCCGTCCCCGACGCCGAATCCCGCCGCCGGCAAGAAGAAGAAGAAGAAGGTCGTCCCCGCTTCGGAAGGCGACGAGTGAGGGGTTTTCGGGTCTTTTTGGAGTTTCGTCGTGTTTGTATTCTCCGGGCTGTTTTTACGTCGGGGTATCTTTTTCTCTTGTATTTTCGATATACCATAATAGAACCCCGACTTCATCTTCTCCTCTCTTCGTGCGTTTACTCCTCGCGAGGGACTTGTGCGTTTTACTCCTCGCCAGGGACTCGTGCGTTTACTCCTCGCGAGGGACTCGTTTCAGGTTGTGTTCTTCAGTAGTATGCGTTTACTCCTCGCGAGGGACATGTTTCGTATTGTACTTCTTGTACAGTTACCTTTTGATGGCGTATACTTTGGTGAGTGTATCTCTCGTAGTCACTGTGAAGTCGGGTGCTTGAAAAAGTGAATGGTGATAAAAACATCCCCGCCGGGCCTGCCGTGGGGGTACAACAAATGATGAGCCAATAACAACACAACCGTACGTCTAATCAGTCGGGGTCCAGAGCAAAGGCTGCTCTCCGTTCTGCCTCGCGAGCTCGGCTTCCCAACCTCCCTCCGGGACGGTCTCGACGGGTTGCACCCGGGCACCAGAGACGTTCATCCGCCCGTTGTTCCTACCCTTGAACCAAGCAGGGGCAGGGACCCTCTGATTGGGACAGTTGACGGCTACATGGCCGTGTTGGAAACACCGGTAGCAGGGGTCGTTCCGCCTCATCCTGCCCGCGTCGAGTTCCATGGGGGCAGCGGTGGAAGCGTTGGCGGCGGGGGTAGGAGTCGCAACGGTAGTATTGACCACAACGGGGTTGCGGGGAGCGGAGTGGTTGCTCGCTTGTCGGTTACCGCCCGAGTGGTAGCGGTTTCCCGAGGACGCATGCCTTCTGGCATCCGCCTGATCTTCGTACCGGCGGCATTCCATTTGGAATTCCGCCAAGGTCATTGTTTCTTGGCCCGGCATAGGGACGATGGCGTCTTTGAACGCTTGGTTCAGGTTGGCCCTGAACAGCATCCGGCGAGAGTATTCGCAGACGTTGGGGAGGAGGGCCAAGAGGTCGTTGTACTCGGTGATGTACGTCGCGAGGCTCTTGGTGCCCTGCCTTAAGTGAACTAATTCGGCCTCAGTTGCTGCGATGTTTCGTCCTCCACCATAAGTGGAGATGAGCAGTTGTTCGAACTGCTCCCAGGTAGCCGGCACTCGACCCGTGGAGTACTCCCGGGCCCAATCGGCGGCCTGTCCTTCCATGTACGACTCCGCGTACATCATCTTCAGGCGGTCGGTAACGTAGACGCCCGGTTTGACCTCGAATTCCCGGTTGCATTGGTCCAGGAACCCTCGGACCTTCTCCTTCTTGCTGCCATCGAACTTGTCCGGCGTTCCAAACTTAAACAGTTTGGCCCGGGCCTCGTCCGACGACGACCGCGACTCCCTTGCCCTCGCCAACTCCAGCACCTGGACTTGCATGTTGGCCATCAGTTGAAAGAGGGTATTCAAGTCCGGCGCGGCGGCAACGGGAGCTGGGGTGGCTGCGGGATTGCTCGCAGGAGAGGTTGGTACCACTTGTGGGGGGACCGCTCCCATGTTGTTGGCCGGCGTGGCCTGCGTTTGAGGTTGCTGGTTGGCAAACACACGCAATTCGTTTGCGGTGGTCTCCGTTCCGGAGTCCGTCGTTTGCAACCACAAAAACCTTCCCTCCCCATCCACCTGCTGGCTTTG